TTTGCCAGCACCAAACAAGTGTTACATAAGTTTAAACACTTAAGTTTGGGCCAGAGAAATCTACAAAAAGCAGTGAATTTGTTAAAAGATGGTCAAAAACAGGGATATTGGATCTTGTTCCAGAACTGTCATCTTGTTAGAGACTGGTTGGATGAATTAGAGGAGCTTTTGGAAGGTTTTGATTTCGAGAATACTCATGAGAATTTTAGGTTGTTTTTATCTTGTAAGCCTGAATGTCAAATTCCGCTAGATTTGATTCAAAACTCTATAAAAGTAGTTGAAGAAGCTCCAAATAGTTTGAAGAAAAACTTGTTAAAAACTTACAAAAAGGCTCCAGTGAATTCTAAGGAATTTTTCTATGGATGTCCTGGAAAACAAGACATATTCTCCAAATTATTGTATAGTTTCTGCCATTTTCATTTTCTTCTCCAAGAACGATACAATATCCTAAACTGGCACGTACCTTACCATTTTTCTGAGTCAGACATTCTGATGTCTTTGGAGGAATTGAGGAACTTAGTGAACTCAGAAGAATGTCTTTTTGAGAAAGTATATTATTTAATTGGGGAATGTAACTACTGTGGATATTTAGAAAATCATTGGGAAATTCGTTTTATAAATGAAATCTTGATAGATTGTTTTAATGAAAGAGTTTTACAAAAAGGAAAGTTCTTCTTCAACGATATTAAGGAGTATGGAATACCGATCAAGAACGATAGAGCAGATTATCTAAAGCAGATCTCTAAGTTGCCTTCGCAAGATGATCCAGAAGTTCTTTATTTAACACAGTACGAGTTTCTTAGATACAAGGAGGTTGATATCCAGAATTTTAACAATTTAGGAGGTCGATTAGTTCAAGATGTTGCCAAAGTTAATGATGGGTACGAAATTAAGATTTTAGAGTCTGTAGATGATATAATTTCGTCACTACCTACCAGAATAGAAGAATATGATGCAGATGAATACATTTTGAGGGAAATTAACTTATACAATTTACTTTTAAGTGCCATACTTGATTCTATAAATAATTTACGTCTCTGCTTGATTGGTGAAGAAGCGCTAAATGAAGATCTTGAAATTCTGGCAAAGGAATTAAACAAAAACCAGATACCTAAGATGTGGTTAAAGTATTCTTATCCAACTCTATCAAATTTATCTCAGTTTTTACAAGATTTCAAAAGTAAAGTGGCGTTTTTTAAATATTTAAGTGCTACAAACTTTAAACGGTTTTGGTTTGGTGCCTTTTTCTTTCCAAGGACTTTGTTGGTGTCTACCATGATAGAGTTTTCTAGGAAGAATAATATTGCTATGGATAGAGTCGCTTTGGAATATGATATAATAAAAGATACAGATCAAATTGAAGTGGGTTGTGGAAAAATAATTGAAAAAATGTTTATTTTGGGTGCTAGAATTGATTCTAAAACAAATAAACTCTCAGATCTTCTTCCCCAAACGTATTTTGATATGTTACCCTCCATTTTATTGAACCCTACTCTTTTAAGTAATACTAAAGATACTGATGAAGATGTTAACAAAGAAGAATTATTTAAATGTTGCGTTTTTAAAACAGAACCATTTTGCAATGAGACTGAAACTCATTTTAGACCAGGCTGTAAAAATTATATCACTGAAATACCAATAAATTCTGAAAGTAATGCCAAAAGATTTGTTCGAAAAGGTGTATGTATTGTTTGCGAAATTGTATCACATTAAGGTATTTTTTTTAGATACAGTTCATACCAAATAAACTTTTAGTGACGTCATTAAGCTTGACCGTCACAGCGTTGCCCACTTTTACATACTTTCTTTTAATCAAAACATTTTAGGAAACAAAAATAAATTAATTATAAATATACAGGGTGAGTTTCTTACGATGTTCTCTATGGGTATCTCGGAAACTACTAGAGATAGAGAGTCGGTTAAATGGGGAAAGAATTGCAGTTTTGTGGGGTCATAAATATGCTCCTTTCAGATTTTTGAAAAAGTTCATGGCTTACTAGATATTTCGAAAAAAACAAATTTCGGCTATTTTAAAAATTGTCCCTAATTCCATTATAAACTATTTTAGACAAAAAGTTATTCACATCCTTAATGAGACTGTGTCCTCCGTTTTCTTCTAAAGCCTGTCATTTTTGACATATGACACAAACATATGTTTTTTTAAATGAAAAGCATAGTTGGCCATGACTTCATAAAAAGCGCCATTTTTTAAGCTTTTCAGCGATATAAGCTATAATATGTTTTCTTCGAGGAATTCTTCATTGCTATCCACCAAAGGTGATATTCTGAGTAGTCAGTTGTTCTTATAGGAATTGGTATCCTAATTAGAGAGGTTTCTTTATAACGAATCAAGCTACTACTCTATTAGCTAATCAATTTACTCATAACCTTTCAGACTTTCAATACTCATTCATTACATTCTCAGAAATATTTTTTTTTCAATCTTATATGTTACATACTTATATGTTACATGTTACCATGCTTTCAATATTTACATATTACTAACAGTACAAAGTATCCATGCCTTCAACATTTAAACATTACAACAGTGCAAAGCGTCCATTCTTTCAACACTCAAATATAACAACAGTGCAAAGCGTCCATGCTTTCAACACTCAAATACTACCACAGTGTAAAGCGTCCATGCTTTCAACACTCTACCACAGTGCAAAGCGTCCATGCTTTCAACACTCTACAACAGTGCAAAGCGCCCATGCTTTCAACACTCTTCCACAGTGCAAAGTGTCCATGCTTTCAACACGCTACAATAGTGCAAAGCGTCCATGCTTTCAACACTTTACCACAGTGCAAAGCGTCCATGCTTTCAACACTCAAATACTACATAAGTGCAAAGCGTCCATGCTTTCAACACTCTACAACAGTGCAAAGCGTCCATGCTTTCAACACTCAAATACTACAACAGTGCAAAGCGTCCATGCTTTCAACACTCTACAACAGTGCAAAGCGTCCATGCTTTCAACACTCTACAACAGTGCAAAGCGTCCATGCTTTCAACACTCTACAACAGTGCAAAGCGTCCATGCTTTCAACACTCTAAAACAGTGCAAAGCGTCCATGCTTTCAACACTCAAATACTACAACAGTGCAAAGCGTCAATGCTTTCAACACGCTACAACGCAACAGTGCAAAGTGTCCATGCTTTCAACACTCAACAACAGTGCAAAGCGTCCATGCTTTCAACACTCAAATACTACAACAGTGCAAAGCGTCCAAGCTTTCAACACTCTACAATAATGCAAAGCGTCCATGCTTTCAACACTCAAATACTACAACAGTGCAAAGCGTCCAAGCTTTCAACACCCTACAACAGTGCAAAGCGTCCAAGCTTTCAACACTCTAAATATTACTAATACATTACTAAATTATTACATTACTAACAGCACTACACACTCACACATTACTCACAGTGCAAAGCGTCTATGCTTTCAACACATTCATTTCTAACACGTGCCATTCGTATTCTTATATCTACATTAACTAATTATAATTAATATTTTTATCACCATTTTTTTATATTTCTGCAATAGATAGCAAAACTTAAGTAGACAATGACTAATAAAGAAAACTAGTTCAACCCATATACAAAAAATAAGTGGCATCTCAGTAATGCATCTCATCTATTAATAATTTGCGTTTTAAAATTAGTTAGTTGAGAGAGAGAAATCCCCTGCATAAAACCACAGATAATATAAACATAACAAATGCAACTGTTTTCTTCAGGATCATTCATTTATTCGTATATGTAACGAATAATATTACTATTTACAAGTAATAATTAATAAGTTCAGTTAGAATGTTTACTTTTCCTATACTTTAATAAAATAAAAACATATAACAAAATATGGCATGTATGACATAATGACTAATTTAGTCAAAACAACAAAACAAAACTATTTTAACCTGCAAGAAATAAGTAAAAAAACAACAGCAGCCTTGCAAACAAAAGCGACAATATTTATCACTTCGCCTGAATAAATACCGATCAATGTTTTTTTCTTGACAAAAACTTTCCTGTGTTGTTATTTGTTATGCAATTAGAAAAACGTATTAAAATTTAAACGGTGTGGCTAATATTTTAAACCAACCATTATGTACCAATGTATTTACCAGTAATAAACAGATCATTAAAACTTATTCAGACTATTTCAGACTATAAAAACTTAATTAAACTTAAACCGCTATGAAATAATGCAGAAAATACTTGTTTTAATAATAATCATTGTAATATTTCCCTCCGTAACTTTATACAGGCTATCTGTTTGGGCTCTAAAACTGCTAAATGTTCCAACTGCTTAATATAAACACTGCAATGCTCAATCTAAATGCGGCAATGCTTCTGAGTTTTGCGACATGACGCCGTGACTCATTTTCTTTAAAAATTTACTTTATTATACTCAACTGATTAAATGAACTATTAACTTTTCGTACTTTTCCAAAGCCACAAACATCAACCAACACTTTCGATTTGTAAACCTAATTAGAAACTGTGTACTTATCTTATTCAAATGCATCCTCCAAGTTTCACCATGCCACTCAAAAGCTTATTGTGGTGTAAGCTCTATCCCACTTCTGATTTTAGCAATTAAATAATAAAAACACAGAACCTTTCCGATACATTACAATTCAACACATTTAATCAACTATAAATCACAAATAATACGTCAGGACACTTTAATAAACACAGACAACATTGAAACGAGCGTGCTGAAGTGTCTCACACTGGCGCGACCGACAGCGGTCCGTGCTTATCTTCCCAAAAATAAATCAATTTTGTTTATATAATCATATTTCTAACAATAGGTAATACAAGTCCATAATATTTTTGTATTAAGTTTAATAAAAGGTAGAAAGTATATGAAGTTTGTTATTTATGAAATACTCCTTAAAATATGTTGATTCAATGTACTGGTTCATCAATATCAATCGTTTTTAAATAGTTATACAATAAATACACTATTAAATGACATTAACTAATACAGATGACTCCAGAAATGGCTCAGCAACAGTTTGAAATGGCCAGTGCCGGAGTGGCAAAGGGTAATAATAACTATAAATATGTTACAAAAAATAAAAAATAAATTTTTATATATTTTCTTAGTGGAGACTCCAGTTACTCATGACCTGCTTCAACGAGCTTTACGGGACGACGGAAAGGTATATGCAAGAGGTCAAGATATTAGTGAGGTACAACAACAGATGATAGTAACCCCAGCTGGTAGGTTAATAAGTATTATTTGTATTATTTTTAAAATAAAAAGATTAGGGAAGGAGCATATCAATAAACTTAGTTTGAACGCTATTTGTCAGGTTTGTTAGCTTGGCTTTAGATCTTTAGAAATACAGTGAATATACAGGGTGTACCAGGCTGAGCGTGCATTAGAAGTTTCTAGGGAACTACAACATCTAGCTCGGAGATTTTTTGTACATCATAGTTTCACAACGAGATTTATGGATTAAAAATATTTTCAATATGGCGGCACTTCCGGAAATGTCGGAAGTTGACAGCAACTTTCTTATTTTAAATGGGTGCCCCCATTTTTTATTACATACTTAAATTCTCTGTAAAATTTTATGAATTTTGATATTAAACACTCTATATCTAACATTGACCGTTTTTGAGAAAAAAAATATTTAAAATTTTTGAATGAAAAAAACTGTCTGTCAAAAATATGTGTATAGCCTAAACGTCAAATTTAGTGTTTACCACGGCCACTTTGCCATAAAGAGAAAACATGTGTCTATCTATTTCAAAAATTAAAATGTTCGAATGTCATATAATAATGGCCGCAGCTGTCATAGAATTGAGCGATTAAAATATTATCATAAATAATTTTTTTCATATGGAAACCCACTTTTTTTATTTCACTAGTGAAAAGGCTTTTCAATTCGTTACTTTTTGACTATATATGTTCCTTTACCTAAAATAAATATTTTTTAAGTTATTTAAGATTTAGTTTTAAAGCGTATATATTTTTCTTGATTTAACTAGTAGCCTATGACTTTAAACGTCAAGTGATGTAAAACAGTAAAACAATAGGTAGGTACCATGCAATGACTAAAGAATATAAGGACATGTAACGCCCCTATACGGGCTGCAGCAGAATTTGTGACCTTAGAGACCTTTCTTTTGATGGCAAACATTGAGTCGTCATTTGGTCACCAGCGACAATTTTAACGATTTTTAATAGTTTGTGTGTAGTAAACTTTGTATAAACTTTATTATAATGGTGATTAGTTGTTCAGCTTTCAAGTGTAAAAGCAGCAGCGATAAGAAAGAGCCAGGAGTTACGTTTCATAGGTAAATAAACAGTCCACTCCAACTTTTTAGCGTTTTCTTATTGAATTCGATAATTATTCTTCAATTTCAATTAACATCTATATGTACTTGATATGTGCTATACGTCGATACTAGTTTTGTACCTTTTGTTAACATTTTAATACGTTTTTTTCGTAATTAATTAGGATGATACACCATAGGCGTAGTCAAAACAATTATCAAAAAATATAAATATTGCTTCAAACAGCTAGGTTAAGAAAAATATGTGCCACGGCACTGTTTGATGGCATCGTCACAAATTGCTCTCGGGTGTTATTTATCCTTGGATTCTTTAGTCATTGGTACCATGTTATATTGTGACGTTTTGTTCAAAAATCATTTCCGAGCCAACTTTGCGCTGTTTTTTTTCGATCATACGGAATATTATTAATATATCAACTATTTAGATATCACTAAAGAGCGAAAATACGAGATATATTTTTATAAATACACTTTTTGTTTAAAAAAGCTTCTTAAGCAGGCAGTATTAATAATATAGGAAATTGAAATAATTCGTTTTCTGACAGATGGAAATAAATTGTCTGACCATTTGACACTTAATGTCAAAGGAAGCTATATAAAATCAAGAAAAATATACGTTTTCAAATTAAATCTTCAATAACTTAAAAACGATTTATTTCAAATATAAGAACATATAGTTAAAAAGTAACCAATTGGGAAACCTTTTCATTAGTGAAATAAAAAAGTGGGTTTCTATTTGAAATAGATGATTTATGATAATTTTTTAATCGCTCAATTTCATGACAACTACCGCCATTATTATATGACATTTGAACAATTTATTTTTTGAAATAGATGTTTTCTCTTTATGTCACAGTGTCTGTGGTAATCACTAAATTTGACGTTTAGGCTATACAGGGTTGTTCACCACATACGACACGGAGTATTGTAGCTAAACGATGAGATTTTTACAAATTGTAAGTTTTGGGTTCGATGAAGGACTATTAGAGGTACAATTTAAAAATAATTTTACAAGATACAGAGTGTCCCAAATAAGTAAACAATATCAAAGTTGTATTTTTTTAAATGGAACACCCTGTATATTATTACATTTTTAGTTTCTACGATTAAAATAAAGGTAAATTTGATTAAGGTTTATTATACTTAAACCTTTCCGTTTTTGAAATATTTTCAATTTTGTGAAATTGCAGTAAAAATTTTAAGGCTTCATTTCTCCAAGGGTATCAAAGTTTTTAATACTAAATATTTACTGGTTTATTTACTGATCAGTTATTGTGTTGCAATAATAAAAATAATACTACCTTATACAGAGTGTCTAAAAATTTATTTTAAATAATTATTAGCTTCAAACGGTAATAACTTGTTTAATTTAAATAGACTGTATATTTTACGAGAATCAGATGCACAATTTAATTGTCTATCAAATTATATTATACCATTTTTTACCTATCTGTTTAAGTTTCCGTAGAAAATGCATTTTCTTGTAATTTAGAACTTATTTATCAATATACCCATGGACTATTGACATTTTAGATTATTTTTAAAGATGTACCAAATTTTTAAAGAGTACAGATAGTAATATTGTCGATATAATTCGTTTATTTCATTGAAAAATAAAAAAAAAGTGTTTAAATATTTGTTAAAGAGGATCAATTAATATGATTCCAGTATTCAAACTACATTAACTGACTGTTTGCGTTGATTAATAATAATTGCTCCAAATACTAAAAAACTGAATTTTGTATGGGCATTAGACAGTGTGATAAAAAGTAACACCTTAAAAATGATATTTCATTTTTTAATAAATGCTTATTTATAACAACAGAGACTTTAATTTGATAACTTATTATTATATTGATTTCTGACTCAAATCCACATTTATTTATAATAATTTATTAACGAACACAATTAAGTATGTAATTAATTAGTATATGGGCTGAAATAATGGTGTTATATTTAATTAGTGGTATACTCTTTTATAAAGATTTAAATAGTTTTTTTGCATACAAATGGGCTAGTAATATTATCGTTTTGCTAAAAACGATAATATTACTAATCTACTTACATTTTGTACATTTGTTGCTTTAAAAACAATCTAAAATGTCAATATTCCATGGATATATTGATAAATGAGGTCTAAATTAAAGAAAATGCATTTTCTACGAAAGTTTGATGGCATCGTCACAATTTGCTCTCGGGTGTTATTTGTCCTTGGATTCTAATACAATTTGATAGACAATTTAATTGTGACATCTGATTCTCCCTAAAATATACAGCCAACATTCCATTTTTTTCGATTAAAGAAGTTATTGCCGTTTGAAGCTAATAATTATTTAAATTTAGATTTTAGACACTCTGTATAATGTAGTATTATTTTATTATTGCAACACAATAACTGATCAATAAATAAACTTCATTAAATATTTAGTATTAAAAACATTGATACCCTTAGTGAAATGAAGCTTTAAATTTTTACTGCAATTTCACAAAATTGAAAATATTTCAAAAACGGTAAGGTTTAAATATAATAAACCTTAATCAAATTTACCTTTATTTTAATCGTAGAAACTAAAATGTAATAATATACAGGGTGTTCCATTTAAAAAAATACAACTTTGATATTTTTTATTTATTTGGGACACTCTGTATCTTGTAAAAATATTTTTAAATTGTAGCTCTAATAGTCCTTCAACGAACCCCAAACTTACAATTTGTAAAAATATCATCGTTTAGCCACAATACTCCGTGTCGTATGTGGTGAACAACCCTGTATACATATTTTTGACAGGCAGTTTTTTCGTTCAAAAATTTTTTTTTTCTCAAAAACGGCCAATGTTAGATATAGAATGTTTAATATCAAAATTCATAACATTTTACAGAGAATTTAAGTATGTAATAAAAATGGGGTCTATTTAAAATAAGAAAGTTGCTGTCAACTTTCGGTATTTCCGGACGAGCCGCCATATTGAAAATATTTTTAATCGATAGATCTCGTTGTGAAACTGTGATGTGTAAAAAATCTCCAAGCTAGATGTTGTAGTTCTCTAGAAACTTCTAATGCACCCTCAGCCTGGGACACCCTGTATACTGGAGAATCTACAATGTTGTTGTATATTAAAGGCTTGGAACCTGTGCTTCAACAGACTTACACTGAACAAAGAATAGAACGTGATGAGATGGCTGAGAAAGTGATCAAAAATCTGGCGGTTGCCGAGATGGACGAGTGTTCTGGTAAAGGAGTTCGTGTGATCATCAGTGAACAACAACTGCAAGTTTTCAGTATTGCTTAATTATCCCTATTTTTGAAAAATCGCTCAATTCCATGCTAGCTACGGCTATGGCTAGTTTCCACGTCCCCCTAGTCAACTCGTATACCCATAGACTTAAAATAAAATATAGACTGAGCATCTCATTCATAAATAGCTGGAACATGCGGTCAGACAATGTCTTGTTATTGTTGTGTTATTGTTTTAGGTTATAACGAGTGCGACACGAGCGATATATTGGTTGTCTCTGTCGTAACGGTCGTTCCCTGACGACTCTGCCGAGAAACACAACATTCTTTCGTTTCTCAAGTACACCTGAACTCTCCATATCATAGCCGGGTAATTTTTTTATTTTAATGAAGCTATAATTAAATTAAAAATATATCGTATTTAAACTTTTTTATATTTTATTAAGATTTAGGACAGGTTTTTTAAATAAAAGTTTAGAAAAAACGTCTTAGAGTCCAAAAAGGATAAAAATAATAAAATACACGTTATAGAAGAAATTTTATAATCAAAATTACGTAATTTTTGAAATTAATAATAAATTATTAATTTTAGTCAAACATTTACAACCCCTAATATTAATCAAAACAGGATCTATTCAACAGATATAATAGAATCGGCGACAGGGAGAGAAAAAAAAATATGATTGTTGTAATTTTTTTTTCTGGTTAAGTGATGTCTTATGTAAATTAGAGAAAACATAAATCTGTTCCATTAAAGCAAGGAAGGTGATAGGAAGTGGATAAAATGAAAACTACATTTATTTAACTGGGGTTATTATACCGAGTGCGTCCCAAAAGTGGCTCATCCCCATAATTTTTTTTATATTTTCAAATAAAAAAACAAGATTTAGTATGTTAGTATATGACATAAATTAGGATTGATTGACGTATTCAATTGTTTTTGGTCACTTCCTGTTTGGAAATTACTATAACTTTTAATCTTTAAACGGCACCCTCGGTATATTTCTACTTTATTCGATAGAAAATGACACTCTGAATAGAATGACATATCATATGTCAACTTTTGACATTTTCGCATATGGTTTAATTGTAATTGTAACACGCGGTTCATAACGACAATTTGACTCGAAATACCAAGTGTGTGGTATCATATATTCATAAAAAAATGCTTTTTCCAAATATGCTAATGAGTCACCCTTGTTCCATTTGAAAAAATTGACATATGTATGATTAAAAATACGATTTGTACATATTTTAACCGACTTAGACAAGACACGAAACCTATTAGACGATCAAAACTATTTTTCCAAGGCTCCTTGATTAAAACTTAGTGTTTTTAACAACACCATGGCACCCTGGATTGAAATTTAAAATACGATTTGTTTTTCAGCGACAATGTCAAAAGTTGACATATGATATGTCATTCTATTCAGAGTGTCATTTTTTATCGAATAAAGTAGCAATATACCGAGGTTGCCTTTAAAAATAAAAAGATGTAATCATTTCGGTGAAACAGGAAGAGACCAAAAACAACTGAATACATCAATAAATCCTAATTTATGTCATATACCTATAACATACAAATCTGTTTTTTTTATCTGAAAAAATAAAAAAGTTATAGGGGGTGAGCCACTTTTGAGACGACCCGGTATATTAAAAAATATTGTTTCATAATGTAATATCAATTTAAAATTCTTGTATGTTATTTTATATGCTCAAGATAATTTTAGAATAAACCATATTTTTAATAAAATCATTATTAATTATTAACAGGGTTATAATTATGACTTTGTTACAATGTAAGTAAGTAAATAATGTAATGAGAAAAAATTCAGATTTTACATTTTACTAAAATATTATCTAAATAAGCGCCTTTCTACAACAACGCCACTGGCTCCCAATGGGCAAATTGAGAGTTGTCTACCGGTCGAAAGTCGTTTCAAGACTTAAATGGATTATTTAAGTCAAATTTCTTGCAAATTTGGCACTGGCGAACCATATTTTATAGTTCTTGAACAGAAAAAGTCAATAAAATAAACACTTAAGGACTACAAACTAAGAAAATGCGTTAATACAGCCGGGGACATAGCGGCATCAAAGCTTTACCGCACACTTGCCACGCGTACTACAAGGTAATAAATGAATGAATAGGCTCCCTCGCCTCTAATCGGTGTTATCATATTGTAAAGAACTTATCCTTTTTAAACAGTATCCGACTTATAATTTAGTAGTATAAGGACTATTTAATACATCTATGGAATATTAAAACCTACTTTATTAAACTGTAGTATTAATATCTCAATATATGTGTATAACAAGAAAAAAAATATTGATAATATTAAAGACGTGACAACATAGGCTGGATGAGGAAGGCTCGGTCGACTGTACCCAGAAGTAAACATGTGTACAAAAAAGAATGTTTGTCCGCGTTGAGATGTAAATAGTGTAGTCTATATTTTATTTTAAGTCTATGCGTATACCCTAATACGACCTTTAATTTCATGATTTTCAATTGTCAACTAAACTACAGACGTTTTTTCTTATATATTTTATAACTTTTGTTTCATTCTTGTATAGAGATTAGAACTCTTTGGTTTTGAAGGAAATTTACTACTCTACGAAAATGGTTTCTTATGATTGGTCGATAAAATTAACCGTTTAAAAGATTTTCCGAACTGGAATAATAGTTATTTTTTTATACAAGACGATAAAATGGTATTTTATCGTCGACCGAAAAGATTAATTCACGAGCGATGAAATCGCGAGTGAATTAATTTCGGGAGACGATAATGCAATTTTATCGTCGTGTATAAAACAATATTTTTTTCCATAGGGAGTTTCGTTTTAAAAAATATTCAGAAATTATTATTTCAAGGAATTTATTACGAGTAGAAAAAATATTGTGCTGGGTTGGCCTTAGTTTCTATGTAATTTAACAAATAAATAAAGCTGTCTTTTTAGTTGCCAGTTTTGAGCATAGACAAACAAATAAAAAGAGACTGGCAAATTAAATGGCAAAGAGAGGGAGAACGTTCCCGTAGCGCAACTCAGAAAGCAAAATTTCGTTCTATTTATGTTGATCTGCGCATTGCGTCTATTGGGCCCACTATCTCATTCTAATATAACAAGAGAGAAAGAAGCAGCAATATAAAACGTTATTTCTAAATAGAAATTAGAACAATCGCTTTTCGTTTTCGTCATCATGACCAGGGGGGTGACAGTGAAATAGGAAAATTGGAAACAGTCATTAGTGTCATTCCTGTCATTCTCCTCACGACAAGTATGGCCGCCTAGACAAGGACAGCATTGTTTTTGTCTAACTATTGTCTAACTTCACAGTTTAGAATACACAGATTTCAGTTTCAGAGACAACTTCAGATTTGTTCTAGAACAAATTCGAAAATTGTGTCGAAAATATTCGACGCCATTTTAATTCATTCCGTTTAGTTTCGTTTTGGAAGTTCAATTTAATATTTCGGCTGAAATTTATAATTATAAAGGTAATAAAGTATATAAAATATATATTACATGAAGAATCCTGGAGAAAATGACGTTTCTGCCGTAGTAGGTATGTCCCATGTATATGAAAAATAGGTAGTAAATAAACACTGTTTTTACATTTTTTAGATGCAAGAAAATGGTGTTATAATCTCTTTGATCGGCGATTTTTTTGAAAATGGAAACAATTTACAGCAAGGTAAGATCATTTTTAACTATAGCCAACATCATTTATCTCCAATATGTGCGATTTATTGTCAATAATGCAATAAATCGGACTGATAATCTGATTATGTTATCCGACTAAAAGTCTCTTTTTGCTTCTTTTTGATTTATAAGCCAGGTCTCTTTGGGAATAATGGACGCTTTTTTAAACAGTATATTTATATTTTATACCTATTGATATTTTTACATTGTTAATTTTAGTATAAAAAAATTTGTTTTTCTGTTTTCAGGTTTTTGTATAAGGCTCCCGTTTTCATGTCCCTGTGTCCGTTTTCTGTCCTTGAAGTCTGCGAATACGTGTGTTTATTTACAAATTACTGTAAGTCATGCTTATACCTTAACTAATTTACGTTAAAAGTACATATAATTAACTAATTGGTATTGAAACAATACAATCCTCTATATTTTTATGTTTATTTAGTCACGTTGTTCCATACTTCAAATAAATATATGTGAATAAATTATTTTTTGGTTTTATTTATGAAAAGAAAAAATACAAAATACATTTGAACTGAAAGAGGACCCGCCATTGAATAACCGGAAACGGAAATGAGAATTAAGCCATCATGTCCTTATCATGTCAACCTGTCAATTGGAAAATTAGTTCTCCAGACGACAACGAAAGCTTTCGGTGGCGTATCGTGTTTCCACGATTTAACACAGAGTTGACACTTCTTTCTAGTTAATTATTTTATGATCATGACAACCAAGGTGACAACATCATGACAATTCGTCATGTTTGGTAATTTTTCTTTTGGTGATTTACCTTTTTTTCTAAACTCTCCATTTTATTGACTTATGAATATGGATAGGGAACAAATTCCTTTGTTCCATATAGGTATTTATATTTTGTTACTTATAATTTTAGATTATACTATTTGTTATTTTATTTGCTGCAGGAACCAGTATCATCTATTTTCTATATGTATTGGTGCCCCCTTTCTCTGATAGATATGTTAAAGACACCCGGTAAAATAAAAGTAAGTAGTTATATTTATCATCTTATTAAGAAAAAAGTAGAAGTAGTAGTGTCAAAAATATTTCGAACCTCTCTTAACATAACAAATTAATACAATTAATTTTTTTCATTTTTTGGGTAGGTAGTTTATAGCTGGTTTATAGTAACCAGAAACTTTATTAATATACCTATATTACTTTTGTTTTAGGATTAAAACTGGACTTGAAAATGGTTCAGAATCATGATTCTCGTAAAGTCTTCTTTGCTTGGATATTCACTTTGTTATTGCAATTAGGCAGTTTTTTCGAAAATGAGATTTTTAATGGCAAAAAAAATTGGCCGATCGTTTCCTGCAACAGTCAGTTGTTCTGCATTTAAAATTGGTAGGTGGGTGGAATAAACACTGTTATTTTTTGTTATTATATTATAAAAAGTTTATTTATTTTTATGTATAAATAAATATGTTTATAAAACAGTACAATTTTTGCTTTTTTATATAATTTCCCTTATAATAGTAGTATTCTTTCGCTCTGAAAAAAACTGCAAATTTTAAACTGATTTATTCCCTACACCACGTTCCCTTTACGTGGTATAGGGAATAAATCAGTTTAAGTGAAAATTTTCAGTTTCAGAATGAAAGAATACTTCTAATAATGGCTAATTTTAAATTTACCCCCAGAATGTGCGATAATGTCTTACGATACGTTTTATACCTACCTCTTTCTTTTTCATATAAAGCACACATAATAAAGAAAGATACCAATAAAGACGTATGTCCTGCCATGGTCCTGCTAATTGGTTTCAAAATTGTTATTCTGAGTTGCGCTACGGGAACGCGGTCCCACTCTTTACCATGAGATTTGTCAGTGTCAGTCTCTTTTTATTTGTTTGTCTATGGTTTTGAGTCGATATTTTTAATTTTCTTTCGTGTCGATTGCTCATTGAATTGGAGCCAGAAATGGCTCAAAACGAAATAAGTAAATCACCAACAGATATTCAGGCTGAGGCGACAAACGCCATATCCAAACTACTTCCATTTAAATCCCGAATAACTTATGAAAAGGAATACAAACATTTTCAAAAATGGAAGAAATTAAAAAATGTGCGAGAAGAAATAAAGTTTTTAAACTATTCTCGCTGTTAAAGTATCATTTAATCTACTCTTGTTCTTGTTCTACTCTTGTTCTACTTAAGTTTTTGTTAACGAGTTATAAAATTCATAAAAAAAAGAAATCTACCTTTAAATAATCAAACTTCAACATTTAATAACTTTTGAACGGTAAGATTTACAAAAAAATTGTAAGAAACCTTTTTTGTAGAGAATTCAATTTCCTATAAACGCATGGTACGAGATATTTTTTCCAAATAGTAGATACCAAGATAAATGAATTTTTCTTTTTAATAATAAGAAAAAAAAACAGAAAACTGAAAGGCGGAGGACCTTCTTATTAAAATTAAGAGCTCGTACTTGGAGAGAATTTTTTAGAGGTGTCTACCAACCTTTTTTTCATAGTATAATAAAGTTTGATACAAAATTAATTTTCACCTAAATTTCAATTTCAGGGATCCTGGTTTCGGATTATCGCATGAAGTAAGCAAGGTACTTTTAATGAAAACCATATAATTAATAAGTGTCAATTTTAGGGAAAAGATATAGTTACTGTTAAAGAAACAATTTCCGTCACTCCCTCCTATACATCGACTGCCAAAGATGTCACTCATGAAGCTATAAGGGTACTTACTATATCAACTAATCTATGACGTCTCTCTTTCTTTTAATTTTATGAGTTATTAATACTTAGCCAAAAATTGATGTGGATCCGTATGAAGTAGCTCGATTAGTGGAGGAAGAAAGCGAAGATGTCGAAAATACATTGAAAATAGCTCCTCCGGATTTGATGCTTACCGAAGAAAAATACGCCATGAAGAAGAGACTGCAGCAATTGAGGCTGAATTCTGAGACAATGGCTCTAATTGAAGAGGTAATAGAGTCTTTTTTTTTTCTTAACTTTTCTAACTATATTCTAGGTTTTTTTTATTCTTTTTGTTCTTGTTATATTAAAACACTGATAAAAAATGATTCCTGTTTACTTTTTCTTTAAACTGGTTGTAACATGCGGTTCATAACGGCAATTTGACTCGAAATACCAAGTATGTGGTACCAAATTATTCGTAAAAAATGTTTTTTTCAAATATGCTAATGAGTCACCCTCGTTATTTTTTGCACTCGTACCTTTTTGTTACCTTTTTGAACTAGTTACACAAATAACTATTTTAGATAATTTGAGAAGCATTACAAATACGAATATCTTATACAAAACTGTTTGATTTTAGTCTGTGATCAACCCTGTAGCAACTGCGGACGAGGCTTTGGTAGAAACAGCTCCAGAAGCACTGGTGCAGATAATGTACACTGTAGAGAGTGGTGTTACCCCAGAATGCGCTCCAGACCAAATGTTCCATACACTTTTCGAGGAAAAACCTACTGAGCAGAGTGTTGTATTGAGGTCAGAACACTATCTATAGGAAATGGTGTTCGCAGATTTAAGACCAGGAAATAAACAACGACGTTTCGACGTGTATTCTCCTCTTTTTCAAGACTATTTTCAGCTAAAAGGTTTCTTTTTCCTTAACTTAAGTAAGAACAATCTTCTTTAACTGATTTACTTTTGACTAGTAATGTTGATTTTCGTTAGGTTAGGTTAGGTTACGCAATCACGCATCCATGCAGCTCTGAACTGTTCAAGAACGCGATACTTTCACTACATTCAATTGAGTCATAAAGTTCATAACCGTTCCGCGCCATATGGAGGCACCAGGCTATCGCTCCTTTCAGAACCGTTCTCGAGTAGCCCAGGGCGTAAAGCTCCGGAACTTGAAATTCGCGAATGGAGGACAGCAATTACTAATCGTTACTCGACTACTAAGTAATCATTTCAAATATTCGTTACTTTGATTACTATGATTACTTTTTACTGATTTTGGCACTGCTGTCAATTTTGTCAACCGCTGTTATATATTTTTTTTTAAAATAGATTCTTAGTATCCACGTTTTTCATTTAATAGACCTCTGTAAATATAATACTTCTAGAACCATTACAATTTTTTGTACAAATATTCAAAAGTTGACTTGTACAAAATTTCACCCCTAATTTCAACCTCTTAGGGGATGAATGTTAAAAATAGTTTCTGAATACTTACTTTCATCCCTTATTTCACCCTCTTAGGAGGTGAGTTTCCAAAAAAATATCTTCTAAGTACTCACTTTCGCCACTTCAGAAACATCTATACAAAATATCATACCCCTAGGAATAATTTTAAAAAAATATATACAAAATTTCACCACCAGTTTTACCCCCTTATGGTTTGAATTTCCAGAAATTCGTCCTCATTGCTCAATTATGTCACCCAAGATACCTCTGTGCAAAATGTCATACTTTAGAAGCGATTTTAACAAATTTTTGTACAAACTTTCACCCCTAACTTTACTCTCGTAGGGGATAAATTTCCAAAAATTGAGTATCTACTTTCGTCACTTAAGGACCTCTGCGCAAAATTTCATACTCCTAAGACAAATTAAAAAAAATATATACAAACTTATACCCCTAGTTTCGCTAGTTTCACCCCTTTAAAGGTTGAATTTCCGAAAAACCTTCTTAGTGTTTAATTACTCCGCTTGAGAGACCTCTGTGCAAAATTTCTTACTCCTAGAATAGATTTTAACAACTTTTTATGCAACCTTATAGTAATTAAAGTAATCAAAGTAACTGTATGGTTTTAAATTCGGTACTCGTTACTTCGGGTATCGATGAGTAACGGGTAGTTACTTTTTCAACATCTCTACTTTTGACAAAAGAACTTTTTAGCTGAAAGTAGCCTTGAAAAAGACGAGAATACACGTCGAAACTTTGGCAATTTTTTAAATAAAAGGTTGTTTATTTCCTGGTTCTAAAACTGCGAACATTATTTCATATACAGGGTGAGTCTTCTATGAAGTTCTCTATGGGTGTCTCGGAAACTAGAGAGAGAGAGTCGGTTAAATAGGGAAAGAATTGCAGTTTTTGGGGTCATAAATATGCGCCTTTCAGATTTTAGAAATAGTTCATGGCTTACTAGATAGTTCGAAAAAAACAAATTTTGGCTATTTTAAAAATGGTCCCTAATTCCATTATAATCTATTTTAGACAAAAAGTTTTCAGATAAAAATTGTAGATAATAACATCCTTAATGAGATTGTGTTCTACTTTTTTTCTAAAGTCTGTCATTGTTGACATATGACACAAACATATGTTTTTTTAAATGAAAACCATAGTTGGCTATGACTTTTCAGCGATATTAGCTATAATATGTTCTTTTTTGACAAAATTACTGAGTTATAGCCAACTAGCGTGTACCAGCGACTTCGTTCGCGTCGAATTAATCATTTGTGATGGTGATGATAAAGCAAAGCAAGAATTTCCATTAACATACAAACTGGATAAAATTTTCTCACACTTATGTCAGCATGAGAAAAAACACTATGGCGATATTATTATATAACTTGGTAATATTTGAGGGGTAGTTTCATCTCGTTGGAATTTGACTTTCGAAAAATCCGTTTGCCAAAAATAAGCTTTTTACGTCAAGCAGTTTAAGCAGAATCGTGGTTAAGAAATTACCCAACTTTTTGGAACACCCTGTATGATTTTTTAAAAAATTTCAAAAAATATGTAAAAACCAAATAAATTATGCTTGTCCAAGCGTTTTCCCGAAAGACTATCCGTTTTTATTGTAATGTTTGAGGGGTGGTTTCACCCTCTTGGAATTTGAGATTCGAGAAACCCCTCCTTATCGAACCTCTACACCCCACAGTCAATCCGTTTGCCAAAAATCAGCTTTAAACGTCAAGCAGTTTAAGCAGAATCGTGATTACTCAATGGTCATATTTTATGAAACACCCTGTATAAATTTATAAAGAATCTTAAAATATGTAAAACAACAAAATAAAATATACGTGTTTAAGAGTTTTCCGAAAAACTCAGCGGTTTTTAAATAAAAAATATTTAGAGGGATAGTTTCACCCCCTTAGAATTCGAGTTTCGAAAAATCCTTTCTTATCGAACCTCTACACCCTAAAGTCAATCTGTTTTAAAAAAACCAGCTTTTTACGTCAAGCGCTTTAAGCAGGATCGTGATTAATCAATGACCAGATTTTTCGAAATACCCTGTATTCATTTTTAAAAAATCTTAAAATTTGTAAAAAAACAAAATAAAATATACGTGTTTAAGCGTTTTTTCGGAAACTTGACCGTTTTTTAAATAAAAAATATTGTAATATTTGAGGGGTGGTTTCACCCTCTTGGAACTGGAATTTCGAAAAATCCCTTCTTATCCAACCTCTACACCCTGGAATCAACCTGTATGCCAAAATTGAGCTTCTTACGTTGAGTGGTTTGAGCAGGATCGTGATTAATCGGTATGTCAGTCACTTAAGGATTTTATATATTAGTATAGATAAGAAAGAGTACAAAATACATTTAAACTAAAAGAGGGCCCGCCATTGAATAACCGGAAACGGAAATAAAAATGAAGCCATCATGTCAACCTGTCAATTGGAAAATTAGTTCTCCAGACGAAAACGAAGGCTTTCGGTGGCGTATCGTGTTTCCACGATTTAACACAGAGTTGACACTTCTTTCTAGTTAATTATTTTATGGCGGAAAAGTTAAAAGTTTGATAACTTTTTCTACTAATTGAAAATGTCTACCGCTAGTTTTGACGTTCTGAATGCTTACATTGAAATTAAAGGAACAAACTTCTAGGCTAATTGAAACCACTAATTTATTGCAATAATTGCAAGGTTCTGAATAAAGTTTTATACTGTTTCAATTTATTTCTGTTTTAGTTCTGTTAGCCCGGGACCTTTGCAAGACGTTCTAATACCTCAACAGTTCGTTTTGGATTTGCACAAGGAACCCTTGTCTGGAGAATTAAACAAACTGACAGATATATACAAGAATGTCACTGACGCGGACGACTGGCCTCATGTCGACGTCTTCCATACTGCCATGGATGACGAGGCCAAACACCCAAAGAAGGGTTTGCATTTGAATTGTTTAACATTACGATTAAGTGCAAATTATTAAATTGTTTTAGATATTCCATCGAGATCGTTTAAGCCAATTGCAGATGAAGATGTTCCTTGGGGTGATGAAGGTAAGTACCTATTGTAATCGCAAAACATTTTCAGATGCACGTCATCAAAAGTCTATAAACCTGACTAAATGCCATTTTGGCAAAAATGTTTAAATTTGTTGTATAATTTAAGATACCGAGCAGCTCTTCATTTTACTTTATAGAGCAAATGATTGTAACAGATATTTTATTTAGATTAAAGCTGCAAAAATTAGTTTAAACCGAATTTTGTTATCGCTATGTTGGTCACATTGTCCCGTGTTCAGCAGTGTTGTCCTTTATTATTTGACAATTATCCTAGTGTCAGTCATTATTCTGTATAATATCCTGTTCTTGTTGAATCTTTGCGAGTAATTCTCGTTTTTTTTGTCTATTTTCATAGTATTTTTTTTTAAATTGCACTTCTAAGCACAAACAGTTCTTTTAAGAACTAAATTTTCGAGTTTTTGAATTGCATTTCTTGAAATTGTGTGTTGGAAATATGCCGAAGCATTTAAACAGGTGAAGCAAAGAGCTTGTAGCCCTTTGCTGCCCCTGTTTTTTTTTTAACTATTTTGAACGAGAACGTGACAACAAAGGTCCTTTATTACCCTTGACTGCAGTCAGAAAAGTAAGTTTGATTGATAAGCACATTATACCACTTTCTAAGTTAGTTTTTATTAAATTCTGTAATTATTACTTTGAGCATTAATAGCACCCTCTTACTTGTTATTATCACTTATAGCGTTGTAAGATGTACATCAATAAACAAATAACCCATAATAACGCTTAAAATAATCTTCATAATGTACTAGTTTTTACCAATATGTAATAAGTAAAATATGCTATAAAACAAATAAATCAATTAATCAGTAAAATGTTAGTCATTAAATTAAAAATAAAACGTAAAACTCGTTAAAAAATGATATAATAAATATTATGTTGTTTGTCAATTTTACATTAAGATTCATCTCATAAATCCATCACAATCTGGCAGAGCTGTCGCCATCGCTTCTCACCAGAGATATGGAAGTGGGAGAATGAGCTTCGACGAGTGCGCATCCAAATTTTTGTCGACGGCAAGATGGCAGACATCTTCCAGGTCTCGCTGTCACTTCCCCTCTTTAATTGACATCTGTCATCTGTTTGTTTTGTTTTGTGTTGTTATCTAGTATAAATTTTCTAATTAATAATTAATAATGTCTATTCTAAAATTTATTATTATCTCAATTATTCTAAACACTAATTCAAAAAGGCTTGTTGTATATTCATAGTCATTCTAAGAAAGCTAATACGCCGGGAATAATGATTAGTTTTCATGTGTAAGTTTATACAACATAATCGTGTTTACAGATGATTCAAAACTGTTTATTTTTAGTTTTCCTAAAGGCGATTTGTAAAAATCGTGATTGTAATTGGGAATGGTCAAAAATAAGTGTATGATGTGGCCATTTAAAGAGGATGTTTTTATTACGTGTGGAGGAAGAAGATACTTGGAATCAATGTTCGTGTTTCTGTAAAACAGTGCACTCTTATAGTGTCCATGAAAGCACAAGTTCAAGTGACCAGAAATATATCAAATAAGATTGGTCCTTACTTGACAAGAAGATTATTTGGAGGAAAAGAAAACATAAGATAGGGTATTTTAATCGAACAGCGAAAATTTAACATTTTTATTGTAAAGTTTGTTGTAGGTAGTTGTAGTTTTGTGCTAAATATTTCTAACATTAGCAGCGGCTGTGTTCAGAGTGTCAAGAGGAGGAGAATTCAGTTAATTAGATTTATGCACAGTTACAGGTATGAAGGCTTTTTCAAACATAGTATCGAGTTCTATAGTCAACATTTTTAGTATTCCTACAACTGTAAAAACAAGGAACATTGGACTGGAAAAATGGCAAGATTTATATAGAAAGAAAGGGTATTATGCCAATAAGAAAATTAAATCTGTAGGCAGAAGTTTCTTATTTAAAAACTGTTATGGGGCATATATTAATTTGTATCTCTGCCACAAATCACTGAGAAAAATCATATAATATTCATAATTGTTAACGAGATGATATTTAAAGAGTGTTAAAAATGAGATTATTAGTCATGAAGCTTACAATGTTACTTTGTTTCAATATTACACTTTTATTCTTGTAAAATCTATGATGAAGTTCAAAAGCATTTTGCAATGGCTTTAAATTGTGAGCCAGGATTTATAGCAAAGGTATTTGATGCAATGAAACTTAATCAGGGGATTGTCAATCCCATGTTTTTAAATAGATCAAATACAGGCCAAAGTTGACAATATTACAGTTGAGAAGAAACTATTTTATCTAAAATTTTCTTAAAATTCTGAGATCATATAATCTAATTTTCTTAATAATAAATTAGGTATATGTATGTTGTACATACAGAATTTTGGTATGGACAAATAAGGATCGACAAGTTTTTTTGTGCAAAATATAAATTATTTTTTGTAGTATTAAGACAAACTATAATGTGTTTTACAAACTTGCCGGTAACAGTTTTTTTTATAATAAAATATTTAGAAATAATTTGGGTTGTTTATCAATTTATTAATGACAAAATAATTTTACGAAATATAAAATTGATGTTCTATTACAAGACTGAGTTTTTTTTGTCGACAAAATCCAGGATAAATACTAATAATAATATCCATAATAAAATCAATGATGTCTATTTATTATGAAAATATTTGTTAGAGGACATGTTATGTAACAGTTTTTGTAACACAATTTGAAGGGACGAATAAAAAAAATAAAACAAAAACATATTTTTTCTAGGTTTATATTAAAAATACAAGGTAAGTAATCATCAAAAATAATTATGAACCAAATATTTTTTATGAATGAACTTGAACAAAAAGTTGTTTAGAACAATTTTTACCAAATTTGCAAAAATTTTAAATTGAACGCGTAATTCTGTACAAGTAAACATGAAATAATTGTAAATACTTATTTAATGGCATTTCGAGTGTTTAACGACGAAAAGGTCATCTGTCCGTAGCGTCTTTTGTCAGAATATTCGTATATTTAGTGTATTATATACCAATATTGTACGCAGTTTTGAAACTGATAATTAAATAAATCATATTAATGGTAACTAACCATAATTAATGATAGAATTTCACTAAATTTAAATTGCCTCCCGTATGGTTGAAAAGAGCAAATTGATATTTGATTACTTATAGATTACCACCTATATACAAAATGACACGGAGACCTGGAATATGGCGCCCAACTTGATTAGACCTTCTGCGCATGTTGACGCTCATTCTCTATCCCTTCTATTTCTCTGCTTCTCACTCAAAGTTGATCACGTGCATCCGAAATTGTTTTGCGATTACCATATGAATATTTTCTTGTACAGGGTGTCCTATTTTGGTTGAATTCATACGGTATCTCTGTTATTAGTGAAGATAGAAGGGTGCGGTTTGCACAAACCTCTTCCACTTTTTGACGCTGCAAGCAAAATTTTCATAGCCCTCTTCGTTTCTGAGCTACAGAATCTTTTTTTAAATTTTGCAATTTGGGAGATTCCTTGTATCTCTGTTATTGTGAAAGGTATCAAGAACGTGAAAACTATTTCTTGTAGACCTTTTTACATAGAATACAGGTGTAGTCTGTTAGTCTGACGTTCTCGTAAGACAATTTTAGTACGTGAACTATAATACAATAATCTCTTTTTGGAATAGATTTGGAACCTTTAGTGAACATCGTGGGTGCCGAACCTGAAACCGTTCTGGAACCGTCCAATGCCAAAGAACTGGAAGAATCGGGTAACCTGGAGACAGAACTATCCCACGGAATTGAGTACTTTGTTGAGGCTGATCCCATTCAGTACATGTCTAGGGTGCAGCTGAGAGGTAGTCACGCACCACCCTGGTTCCCAGGTAATTTGGCATTAACTCGGTCATACACTTATTTGTAAGTTAAGCGACGTTAAATGATGCGAGTAGATGGACGGGTGACCGTCTGGTAACTTTGTCGTGTTGTTGTACCATGGAAAGATTGTGAAGTCTATATTGACACACACTGCTCATTCATGACGGTTCGAGGTCGGATGAGCTCGGAATCTCGTGAGTAAGAGTCGATTAGACACTCGCCTTTTCGGTAGGCCATTTACAATGATATGACCGAGGACTGCGGTTCGAATTCCGCACCAAATTTACGGTTCGGATGATTTTTTCATAACATCCTGTATATTTTCGATCATTTCTCATATAGGCATATTTTTGAGTAGAGAGTTAACAGAGATAATCAAAATAAGCCCACCCTTTTTATACAGGGTTGTTCACCACATACGACACGGAGTATTGTAGCTAAACGATTAGATTTTTACAAATTGTAAGTTTTGGGCTCGTTGAAGGACTATTTACTAATTTAAAAATATTTTTACAAGATACAGAGTGTCTCAAATAAATAAAAATATTGAAGTTGTATTTTTTTAACTAGAACACACTGTATATTGTTATATTTTTAGTTTCTACGATTAAAATAAATTTGATTAACGTTTATCACACGTAAACCTTACCGTTCTTGATTTTCAATTTTATGAAATTGCAGTAAAAATTTTAAGGCTTCATTTCTCCAAGGGTATCAAAGTTTTTAATACTAAATATTTACTGAAGTTTATTTATTGATCAGTTATTGTGTTGCAATAATAAAAATAATACTACCTCATACAGAGTGTCTAAAAATTTATTTTAAATAATTTCTAGCTTTAAACGGCAATAACTTGTTTAATTTAAATGAAGCACCCTGTATATTTTGGGCCAGTCAGATGTACAATTTAATTGTTTATCAAATTGCATTGTACCATTTTTTACCTATCCCTTCAAGTTTTCGTAGAAAATGCATTTTCTTATAATTTAGACCTCATTTATTAATATACCCATGGAATATCGACATTTTAGATTGTTTTTAAAGCAATGTACAAAATGTACAGGTACTAAAAACTATAATATTACTAGCTCATTTATATACCAAAAGAAAACTACTTAAATCTTCATAAAAGAGTATACCATTAATTAAATATACCACCACTATTTCCGCCCAAATATTAATTAATTACATACTTAATTATGTTTGTTAATAAATTATTCTAATTAATTGTGGATTTGAATCGGGAATCAATATAATAATAAGTTATGAAAATGAACGTCTCTCTTGTTATAAATAAGCATTCGTCAAAAAATTAAATATCATTTTTAAGGTGTTTTAAAACTTTTTTAAACTTTTTACCACACTGTCTAAAACACACACAAATTCAGTTTTTTAGTATTTGGAGCAATTATTATTAATCAACACAAACAGTCAATTAATGTAATTTGAATACTGGAATCATATTAATTGGTCCTCTTTAACAAATATTTAAACAGTTCTTTTTTAGTTTTTTTTAATTAACGAATTATATCGACAATATTAGTGTCTATACTCTTTAAAAATTTGTTACATCTTTAAAAATATTCTAAAATGTCAATATTCCATGGATATATTGATAAATGAAGTCTAAATTATAAAAAATACAACTTTGATAATTTTTGTTTATTTGGGACACTCTGTATCTTGTAAAAATATTTTTAAATTGTAGCTCTAATAGTCCGTCAACGAACCCAAAACTTACAATTTGTAAAAATCTAATCGTTTAGCTACAATACTCCGTGTCGTATGTGGTGAACAACCCTGTATATATTTCATAATATTTTGTGTGTATTGTTTAATAGGATATTTAAAATAATTGTTTTAACAATTACTTTTGTAATTCTAGGTTATATCTATGCTCTGCCCGAGTTTCCAGAACTAATCAAAGTGGCCAAGAACCCGGATGAAGTGTTTATGGCCAGCTGGAAGGCTTGCCAACCGAAACTTATGCCAGATGAATCACTTTCCATGTCTATGTAATAAAAAAAAAAGTTTTTGTTTAACATGTCTATTATTGACCCTTATGCTACTGATTACAGCAATTGATTTTTTTAGAATATCCTAAATATAGCATCAAACTTATGATACATTGTTTTTTTTTTCTATATAGTGGCAGGCTTAATATTATCCTTTTTGAATAAAAATACTAAGAAATGAGCCTTTCGAGTACTACTTATACAGGGTGTTTCAAAACCAATGCGAAAAACTTCAGGGGGTGATTCCTTGTTCAAAATAAAGGGTAGTTTGCTTCATAAACGTTGGGTCAAATGTCAACCATTAGGGAGATATCGCGGTACAAAGATGGCGGAAAAATAATGTTTTTATTTTTTATCTTGAAAACGAAAAGTGATAGACTAATGAAATTTTATGGAAGCATTACTGTTATCAAAACACTCTTTTTGGTAATTTTTTCACTTTTTTAAAATGAGTGGAAGGGGTTGAAATAAACTACCCCTATCATTCTTGTAAACGAAATTTAAAGAAAAATCTTATCAAACACATGCAAAAAAATTAATTTGGATAGTTTAGTTTCTTTACAAACTTTTTTATCTCTTGTGTTTATTTAATAAAACTCACCAATTTGAAATTAAAAAATAAAATGTAAAGCATTACATGTCAGGACAAAAAACATTTTTAGATTAAGAATCTAGTGATAATAACGATAATAATAATCATCTAGATAATAACCTATTGCAGTAAAGTAATGTCAAATAAAATAATATTAGAAACATCCTAAAAAGTAACAGCGGCCGACTAGATTTATTCCTAAAAAAATTACAGCAGCCCACTAGATTCTTTATCAGAAAATGTTTTTTGTTCTGACATGTAATGCTTTACATTTTATTTTTTAATTTCAAATCGGTGAGTTTTATCAAAAAAAACACAAGAGATAAAAAGTTTCTAAACAAACTAAATTATCCAAATTAATTTTTTTTGCATGTGTTTGATAAGATTTTTCTTTAAATTTCGTTAACAAGAATGATAGGGGTAGTTTATTTCAACCCCTTCCACTCATTTTAAAAAAGTGAAAAAATTACCAAAAAGAGTGTTTTGATAACAGTAATGCTTCCATAAAATTTCATTAGTCTATCACTTTTCGTTTTCAAGATAAAAAATAAAAACATTATTTTTCCGCCATCTTTGTACCGCGATATCTCCCTAATGGTTGACTTTTGACCCAACGTTTATAAAGCAAACTCCCCTTTATTTTGAACAAGGAATCACCCCCTGAAGTTTTTCGCATTTGTTTTGAAACACCCTGTATATTCTTGTCAAAGACGAAAAAGACGTCATGGTAGCCATTTTGAAGCACATTTTTTGTTAGTTATGTTTGACTTTTCTCTTGAATAAAAAGACACCCTGCTCAGTTTTTTTATTCATTAATATTTTTTATCCTTTACCCTTCTTTCCTTAGATGTCATAGATTATAAATGATACAACACAATTACTACAACAAGCCTAATGATATAATTATTGTCCTTTACATATACAAACTTAACAAAAAAAGATAGAATAGCTAGCAGAATTTCATATACCGTGCTGGCAACTGTTACTTTTAGGTCGGTATTTACATGTGTGGAAGTAAATCGCATAGGGGATCTTATTAAGTCGAAGTGAGAGAAATGCGACGGAGTGCTGTTGCGGCGTTGCCGGTACGCCTTTCCCTATCAAGTAAAGTAAAATCACGATCGCAAACCGCTTATTTTTAAAAGACTTTTTTTCGAAAAGATAACTAGATAAAATCATTAGAAATGTTTCTGAGCATCTGAAATGGAATTATAACGATATTTTTAGGGTGTAATTTTTTTTATAACGTCAGTATAATCGCGATAATTTAAACTTTGTAACACATAACACGCCATAACTCAAGAAACACTTTAGATATTGAAACTTTATTTATTTTCAAGATCGGATCTTTTACAATATGTTTACATAAGAAAAATTCGATAAGGTTGTTTTTTCCATTAAAAAATTGTAAACAACCCATCCATTTACTTTTAGAGCATAGAAATTTTCAGCAATCGTATAATTTTTTAATTGATAAAGATTTTCACTCACTGTCTACGAAGAAAATACAGCAGAAATATTAAGAAAGTTTCTGAAAAAATTACAATCAATTATTTCTAATAGATTTCGAGATATCGAGTTCTAATAGCCCGACCACTGTCGAAAACCAACTCAATTCCACTTATTTTTACCAAAAATGCAAGTGTTTCTAGCATGCACTTAAAGATTTTCAAGCTATCAGGGCCTACTTTACCACAAGGCCCATAAGGCACGGGCCTTGGGCCCGGTGCTCTGGGGGGGGCCCGTTAAAGGTTATAAAATATTCATAATTTCAAATGTAAATTTACATAGCAGAGAAAAAAAAACAGTGAAAAAAAAAACACCTCTGATAGAATTAAATAAAATAAGCTTTAGATTGATATAATTAATGCAGTTTTTAAAATTATTTATCGGTGATTCCCCAATCTAAAAATAACTATATAACACTTCGTCCTACGTGGGAGAGTTTGTTTAAGTTTTGTTACACAAATATTTTCATTTTTTTTTAATTATATTTACATGTGTATTTATTATTTATTGTAATTGTTTACTTTGTTTTTTGTTCAGTAAAAGAAAGGTTTTTTTAATTTGTCAATTTACTATTAGAAATTTTGTCTAGGTACCTAATTTTTGTTCTCGGTTTTGTTAAAAAAAATGTTTAATTTTTAAAATTAGAATTAATTGTTTTTTTTTTTCATTATTTATTTTGTTGAATATAATGTTTATTTATTTTTTAAAATTATTAAAAAAATAAAAATAAAAATAATTGTTTTATTTTTTTAACCCAAACTAACAAGAGAATTTTTGAATTTTATTGGAAAAGAGGGCCCGAATTTTTGCTTGGGCCTTAGGGCCCGACCTGATGAAAAATAGGCCCTGCAAGCTATAGAAAAAATTACAACGACTCGTTAAAAAATAAACAAATCAAGTATCACGAGACGTAATTAAATCGTGAAGCTGAACGCATGATGTACACCTTTCCCTAGAACTTTAAGTACCGACAGAGTGATTGGGTCGACCGGTCAACTGCGACGAATCTGCTATATCCCCTTCCACGTCTCTTAGCAATGTGCACAGTTTTGCAATTTATTTCATACGTTTGGCAACGTGTTTATTGTTCTCTCTTTGTTCAATACATTATAAACGCATTGTACTCTTCTTAGATACGGAAATCTCGACCCGAGACTAACCTTTGCCAGCCCTTAGTATAGATCATACCAAATAAAGATTTAGTCACGTGATTAAGCTTGACCGTCACAGCGTTGCCAACTTTTACATATTTTCTTTTAATCAAAATATTTTAGAAAACAAAAATGAATTAATTACAAATATATAAACAGTTACTATTTACATCAACAAAACACTTAAGGGACATAAAGGGCCATTATTACCGCTTTCCCGTTCAAAATATTCTCATAAGGTTTGCGATTAGTATTTTTGCAACGGCTGTTAACCTGCTTCGGCATCTTCTACACTTGGCAACAATGAATTTAATAATCGCGCCTTCAATGACGTAACTAAAAGTATATTTGGCATCGCTTATAGCTACTAAATTTTTGTAAAGCGTTTTTTTAGCATTAGTGTCCACTTTTTGCACCCAAATGTTCGTCATTATTGTGTTATATCTTATTTTTGCAGTGTCTAATAAAAAAATAACGATTTCGTGCTACATAGAATAGCAACCCAAGCAGCATTTGGACGTCGGGACAACGTTGTGTCACGCGACCAAACGTCGGGGCGCAACGTCGGCACAACCTCGTGCCAACCCTAGTCTGCACTAGTTTGGAGAATAATTTTTGGGTCGAAACGACGTTGGATACCGACGTTGGCTAGAAGCCTAATTTTGTACAATCTGCAACGGTGTTTAAAATCCTAATTCACAGAAATACAAAACTAATATGGCGTCTAAGTCGCGTTTTATCCTAAATTGGGATAATTATAGTAAAAATATTATTTTTATGGTTTAGTTAGAGACATATGTCCGATGGCAGTGAAGGAAAACAAAACAAAAGTATTTAAGTGTGGAGGATGTTTGAAGATCATAATTATTGAAACACTTTAACCGACTCTGTAACTCGTTACCCAAGGCAAAAAAGTTAAACGCAAACAACTTTATTTATAAATGTATTGTTTCTACTTTGAAAAATACTAATGGGCCTTAAAATTAAAGAAGTTTTAAAAATTTTCTTGATTTTTTTTTTAGTAAAATGAGAATAATTCATTCGCAGTCGAAAAAATTGTTTCCGCGTGTTTTTTAGGGTCAAATATTTCAAGTTAATGTATTCAAAAAGCAGGAATTGCTATTTTAGAAACGAAACATTTTCTTATTTAACAACATGGCGGCTTGCACTTTGTTGTTTTGGAGATTAAGATGGAGTAGTTCGAGTAGTCGCATACTGGTCTAATAAAGTCGCAGTTCGGCCTTAACAGGTAGTATACTAGTCGCAAGATTGCCTAATTTAGTCATCCTAGAGTCTACCTTGTGCCTTGTGCCGCCCTCTATAATCTAAATAAACGAGGGAGTGGATAAACTATCGGTAATATATGTCGATGTATATTTAAATTTAGTTTTATATGTACCTTTCTTATGTCCCATTTTAATTATTTTTTTTTATAAAAACAAAAACAGCACTGAACTGTCTGACTGAACAGAACAATGAAGTGAAAATTTAAGATTTAAGGTTATGGTTCAATACAGTTGCAAAAAGGTAGTGACCCGACGTCCTACCAACGTAAGAATAAGGAAATCTAAACAACGTTGGAATTAGTAAAACAGACGACGTTTGCATAACGTTGGAATAGGTCCTGAAACTGACGTCGGAAAACTCTATATTGTCCAACGTTGTAGCTACGTTCTAAAGATCACTTAAGCAAAAAAGGTTAGAAGACAACGTTTATTCGACGTCGCAGAAGCTTCTACTTTGCTGTAGTACAAGTCCAATGTCGGCACAACGTTATAAGAACGTTTAAATTTATTTTAATACCTAAGGTAGGGAGCTAACTATTTTTTGTAACTAATCCAACGTTGTGTTTAGTAAACATGTGGTCGCAAGTCGTGAAAATGCTACTTGGGAATAAATAACACTTGGTGTGTAGTGTACAGAGTGTCCCATATTGGTTGCAAATTAGGATTGCCTTGCACAATTTGCCACCTTAAAAGTTTAAAAATTCCGAACACTTCTGAAGATTTTTTGAAAAAATGCTTCCTTCTATTTAAGCGACCGAGTATTTGGTTGGGACAACCTGTACACTAGTAGTGCAAAAAATTCTGCAACAAGAACCAACTGATACTTCGCTTATACATTTATAACCTTTATTTTTCTCGAAACATGTTTAAAGAAAGTACAAAAAACAAAACCCTGACTAACTGACAATTTGGAATGATTTCTAAAAACCCTGAGTATATGCAAAATGTCGAATGTATATGATATTTAAAATTTAGAGACCCTTGTTGTAAAAGACCTTGTCTCTCAGTTCTAAGTCGTATTTCTTCTTTGCGTCTGCCTGAAAAAAACAAAATAACAACAATAAAAAAATAGGTTGGCGACAAAATACATCTTTATTTAGTTGTTAGTTTTAGTTACAAAAATGGGGTCTTATTGACATACGAAATAAGGAACATGGACTAAGATTTAGGTGGTAGATGTAGATGACGGTTGTAGAACAAGTATTTCGGGGGTTTGCATCGGAATTTTTTGTTTAAATAATTCTAAAAATGTTGTATTTTGTATTAACTTACTTTTATATTGTTTCAAAAACCAAACAAGTTAGTAGAGTTATTATGACGCCATCAGTGTTCCTAACAAAGTGATCAATGAAAGAAAATTTCATATTATTATTAAACCCTAAATTTATTCTTTGTAGTAAATACGATTTTAAATTATAAACTAGAGTATATTTTTTAGCCGACCATACCAATAGGTATGGTAGGCTATTAAGATCGACAAAAAAAAGTGTTTTAATTTCACTCAAAATGAGTTATTTGGGACCTAAATACAAAATACACACACCGGAGAAGTCTAGGAATATTACAATTTTATCCACCCATCGTCAGTAATTTTATTATTTTCATTTCTGATATAATAAAATTAAAATAAATAAATAGTTTACAGGACGTATTGGAAATAAAAATGCGAAATTTACCGAATTTTTCAAATTTACCTTGATTTTTATTGAACTCAAAAAAATACACACATTTTTTTTTATTCTAAAATGTGAATTAAAAAAAAAGATAAAACCATTTTTACTTAATAAAGGGTATGGCCTCCTCTACTGTTCATTACAGCCCTACATCGGCTCCATACTCCTGATCAGGTTGTCGATCTCTTCTTGAGGGACAGCCTGCCACGCTGCATTCACGGCCCGAACCAGATCCCTACGAGTTTCACGAGGCATACCCATTCTCAAAATTCTTGTTTGGACCGCGTCCCATACGTGCTCGATGTGGTTGAGGTCAGGAGATTGTGCCGGCCAGGGTAAGATGTTTAATTGATGAGCATTGATAAACTCACTTACCACTCTGGCTGTATGAGGCCGTGCATTGTCATGCATGAGAATGAAGTTTCTCCCAAAATCATTGGCATATCGTAACACGGCAGGCTCAAGAATTAAATCACGATATGTGATTCCTGTTAGAAACCTTTCAAGAAAAACGAGATCGGTTTTTCGGCCTAACTGGACTCCTCCCCAGACCATAACTGTTCCACCTTGATAAGGGTGCACTTCCTGAACATGATCCACCCGAATAAGTTTCTCGGTTCTCTCCATACCATAAGCCTTCTCGAATCCGGATGAATTCCAAAGCGTGACTCATCCATGGGCGTCTGCTTCTTAAGTTGACCTCTTTTAATCTATTGCGAACAGTGTCAGGACTAACGGTTACATTATGTGTTTCCTGGAGAATTAAACTAAGCTCTGGTGCTGTAAGAGTCGGTCGGCGTCGAGCATTTAATTGTAAAAAATGGCATTGCTGAGGGGTAGTAATGCGATGTCGCCCTGTGTGCCTTTCAGCAACATCACCACTTTCACGGTAGCGTGCACTTAATCGCGATATTACACTTTGCGTTGTATTTAATTTTCTAACTACGTCGATTTGGCGCATTCCAGCTTCGAGCATACCCATGACCCTCAGCATTTCGTCTCTGTTAAGATGTCTACGCTCCATAATGTCGTTTAATACTAAACAGAGTTATTTGAATGAATTCTGGCCAGTTATCATAAAAACATAGCCAGTACAGGTTAAATTCGAACAATTGATGCTAGGTGCTTTTTATACATTTGACAAAAAATGCACAAACACTTCTGCAAATGTCCTAAATTTAGAAATAACTAGTGTGACTACTTCGTTTCAATCGAAGTAGAAAGAATCGGCCTACAAATATGTGGTTGTTTATTCAAAACATTTATTTTTTAATTTAATAAAATGATATGCCTAGATTTTCCCGTGTGTGTATTTCCATGGTGTCTGTCTGTCTGTCCGTCTATAACACGATAACTCAAAAACCGATAAACCGATTTTAACCAAATTTGGCACAAAAATACTGTGGCACCCGAGAATCTGGCCATTATTTTTTTTTTGCTTTGAGGTTGGTAAGGGGGTATGGGAGGGGGTTAAAAATTTTAAGAAATCGTAACTCCAAAATTACAGTAGCTAGCGAAACGCGGTTTTCAATTTAAGATTAGGAATAATATTTGCAACAAAATTTGTAATAAAATCAAAATCAGTCAAAGCCGCAGTTTTTGAGATAAAAAAAAATTGAAAAATTCCTTTACTTTGAAACTAAAAGAACTGCCTAGCAACTTTTTATTAACTATACCTGCCTCCCGGCGCCAATTTTTTACGAGGAAACCAGTAAACAGTGGTACTACAAAGACAAAAACTTTTTTCAACACTGATGACGCGCTAACAATTCCCTTGTTTGATTTTTGCTATAAATGAATAAATTTAAATTTATAAATACAAATAAAATACCTGCAGATCCGATTCCAAGTGAGAAAAAGGTAGGCTGGCTTTCTGTTTGAAGAAAGCACATGCCATAGGTGTCGCGAACGTCAGGCACAATCCCAAAATACCTATTGAAGCCGGAAGCGCCAGCCATGGATACCTACAGAGTGTCCCGCGCTTTTCCAGGTAGTCCATTACCACAGGTGTCAGAACTGAAATAAATGTTATTTTAATATGGATTAGATATTCAAAAAGGAATACGTTTTTTTACCCAATCCTGGTAAGGCCATGCATACTCTGCTCAGTATAACTTGACCTATACCGTATTGTGCTGCTATCTTGGAATAACCTAGCTTGTTACCGTTGATGTCGTAAACAGGTGTGCCATGTTGTAGTTCTCTGTTTTAAGAAAAAGAAAAATGTGTTAGTGTTAAAAATTTAAAAAAATCAAATATCTCGGTATACCGGGTGCGTCTCCAAAGAGGCTTACCCCTATAACTGTTTAATTTTTTTTTGACAAAAAAAAACAAATTACAAAATAGTAGTAGGTATGTTAGTCTATACTAATATATAAAATCCTTAAGTGACTGACTCACTGATTAATCACGATCCTGCTCAAACCACTCAATGTAATAAGCTCAATTTTGGCATACAGGTTGATTCTAGGGTGTAGACGTTCGATAAGAAGGGATTTTTCGAAATTCCAGTTCCAAGGGGGCGAAACTTAGCGAAAAAATATTACAATATTTTTTATTTAAAAAACGGTAAAGTTTCCGAAAAGACGCTTAAACACGTATATTTTTTTTACATGTTTTAAGATTTTTTAAAAATGTACTTATACAGGGTGTTTCGAAAAATTTGGTCATTGATTAATCGCAATCCTGCTTAAAGCGCTTGACGTAAAAAGCTGATTATTGAAAAACAGATTGACTTTAGGGTGTAGGGGTTCGATAAGAAGGGATTTTTCGAAACTCGAATTCTAAGGGGGTGAAACCACCCCTCAAATATTAGAATATTTTTTATTTAAAGACCGGTGTGGTTTTTCGGAAAAACTCTTAAACACGTATATTTTATTTTGTTGTTTTACATATTTTAAGATTTTTTAAAAATTTATACAGGGTGTTTCATAAAATATGACAATTGAGTAATCACGATTCTGCTTAATCTGCTTGACGTTTAAAGCTGATTTTTGGCAAACGGATTGACTGTGGGGTGTAGAGGTTCGATAAGGAGGGGTTTCTCGAATCTCAACTTCCAAGAGGGTAAAAACGCCCCTCAAATATTACAATATTTGTTATTTAAGAAACAATTAGACTTTCGGGAAAACGCTTGAACACGCATAATTTATTTGGTTTTTTTTACATATCTTGAAATTTTTAAAAAATCATACAGGGTGTTCCAAAAAGTTGGGTAATTGATTAACCACGATTCTGCTTAAACTGCTTGACGTAAAAAGCTTATTTTTTGCAAACGGATTTTTCGAAAGTCAAATTCCAACAAGATGAAACTACCCCTCAAATATTACCAAGTTATTTAATAATATCGCTATATTGTTTTTTCTCATGCTGACATGAATGTGAGAAAATTTTATCCATTTTGTATGTTAATGAAAATTCTTGATTTGCTTTATCATCACCATTACAAATGATTAATTCGACGCGAACGAAGCCGCGGGTACACGCTAGTATACTCTGTTTTTTTTCTCAGGTAAGATTTCGACAGACGATGACAGAAGAAAAGCAGATGACATCCCATACCAATCTATTTATTTTACTAAAAAAAGTTTCTAATAATTTTTAAGTTATCTATGGATGGGTTTAAATATAAATCCGTCATGCGTCGTGTCTTGTTGTTTTTAACCAGTTTTATTGGTTTATTTAAAAAATGACAGATCGTATTTCAATTTTATTGGTTTGACGGAACGATGAACGACAAACGGACGCCGATGCGTATGAACTCGCCTTTAGATTTTTGTCATTTTTGACGCTTGTCAAAGTCTTGCCAAATTATAGGTTATAATTTTGTGTCAACTTTGTTAAATACCCTGCGTTTTGGAAGATTTGATGCGAATTATTACGTGTGTTTTGTGTTTTTGAAGTTAAGTGGAGGAAAAATCGAGTGAAAATTAACTGTAGACCCAGAGCACAGTTTATGGTTAATACTCGCTGCCCAGGCAGAAAGTCTTATACACCAATGAAGTTGCCATCGATAAAGTTTGTATACCATTTCGTCGTAGATAAGTGCATCTCGTATATGGTAGAAGGATCAAACTAAATAGTAAAATATCAACATCACACGATAGGTAAATAATGGATTTTAGTACTGCAGAAAAATAATGTCAAAAGGTACTGGTTTAAAAATTAAGATTAAAGTTAATTAATCAACCTTTAAGGTATAAAATTTGGTAGGAGTTATTATTAATAAAATAGTTTGTTTTATTTACCTATGTTGTTTTATTTATTCCTGTGGAATATTACAAATTTGTATTTGTACATAAGTAATATTGATAAATATAATCATAAATGCGGGTAATTTCATAAAGCTTGAAAGTAAATAATAGTTCTTTTTATATTTTTTTTGGTATGTAGTGTCTTGTTCTTGTTTGTTTTGTATTAACACATACCGTTTTTATTAAATAAAATAACTCGATTACATTTTTCAGTTTTATTCACAATATTTTGAAGTAATCACTTGTCATCTTGTCAATCAAATTTTAAATATTTCCTGCTATGCGTTCCAGTTGTACCAACTTATTTCTTTATAAAATAAAATAAACTACTTTGAAATTAAAATGACAGACACATCTATCACTGTCAAGGATCTTCTCGTTGGACAGACTATATATGATAAAAATATCGTATTTTAAATTTCAATCTAGAGTGCCTATCTGCTGTGCTAAAAACACTAATTTTTAATCAAGGGGCCTTCGTATCATTATTATTATTATCGATTAATGTTAACCAAACCAAACTTTCTCAATTTTTTCAAATGAAACGGAGGTAGTTCATTAGTATATTTAAAAAAATAATTTTTTTAAGAATAATTTGGTACTATACACTTGGTATTTCGAGTCAAATTGTCGTTATGAACCGCCATGTTAACAATTTCAAATAAACCATATGCAAAAATGTCAAAAGTTGACATATGATATGTTATTCTATCCAGAGGGTTATTTTCTATAAAATAAATTAAAAAAATACCGAGGGTGCCATTAAAAAATAAAAGTTGTAGTCACTTCTGGTGAAACAGGAAGTGACCGAAAACAGTTGAATACGTCAATCAATCCTAATTTATGTTGTATACAGACATTACTAACATACCAAATCTTGACTTTTTTAGCTGAAAAAAAAAATAAAAAAACTTATAGGGGTGAGTCATTTTTGGCTTATGAAACGCACCCGGTATATGAACTTTTTCTCTAAAAAAATATATAAAAAATCACATCCTGAACTTTCTTAGACTACTTAGGAAACACCCCTTATGTTTTTTTTTATTTATATCCCTGAACTTTAGATATACCGTATGAACGAAAAAAAAAACCGGTTCAAGAAAGGCTGGGGAATGACAATCGATGATAATTTTAGAGAGGTCAATCTCTAGACGTCAAAAAAAACAATTTTTTTTTTAAATTTTAAACTACACCGTTTAAAAACCATTTTTATTCGATATAAAAATAAATTACAACCATCTAATGCCAACTGGTTTAGTAAACGTCATTAAAAATATAAAGAAAAGTACGGGCCAAGTAATGACGTGTATGGCTTGACTTCGCCAAAATTATCATCGATTTTCGTCCCCCAGTCGTCTTTGACGCCGTTTTTTTTTCGATCCTATGGTATACAGGGTGCTACAAATTCGAGGTACGAGCATTGGTATCTCGGTAACCGTAATAGATACGAACATGGTTAAATTGGGGCTAACTTGTTGTATTGGGATGTTCACCAAGATGCCATCTAAAAAGTTTTAAAAGTTTCGAGGATTGCTGAGTTTTTTGGAAAAAACTGATTTTTTTAAAAATCACTTTTGTTTTTTCCTGTCGTTAATTTTTCGAAAATCAAAAAACTAATTGCACATTCTCATAGCCACTTTATTTTTAGATTTTCAAATTAGCTGATAATTTGTGAGATATAGAGGCCAACTAAATTTTTTTAAATACGGACTTGCATTTTTATTCCAGATTTTGAAAGAACTCGGTCTCCTGAATACAATGATATGCCACACTTAATACTGTTTTTTGTTTTGGATACCTTAACAGCAACAAAACTATTTAATTATTAAATAAACAAAAATACGAGTAGCGGAAAAAGGGGCCAAAAAACCCTACATATATGCTTATTCTCTGCATTAAGTTCATCAGACCGAAGGGAACAGCCATTCGACGACCGGTTTCGGAGACTTTTCTTCATCGTCAGGCCGACTTTGTTGTAACCCTCGATCTGACCAACGAAAAGCAGAGAATAGCATTTGAGTACAATAAGTACTACTATGGCGAGAGTGCTAGACGCTCTACGTCATCTAGCGGTAGCTGTGACAATCACAGATCGTACCATCTTCTAACAGCTCTACGCCATCTTTTTTGGCCCCTTTTTCCGCTACTCGTATTTTTGTTTATTTATTATATATACCCTACCTAAGCCTTCTTAGCTCCATCTGCGGTAATGTGCATGAAGCAAGCATGTCTGTTCAGTAGGCCGCAGGTTTTAATTATGGCGGTACGATCTGTGATTGTCACAGCTATCGCTAGATGGCGTAGAGCCTCTAGCACTCTCGCCATAGCAGTACTTATTGTACTGAAATGCTATTCTCTGCTTTTCGTTGGTCAGATCGAGGGTTACAACAAAGTCGGCCTGACGATGGAGAAAAATCTCCGAAACCGGTCGTCGAATGGCTGTTCCCTTCCGTCTGCTTAACTTAATGCAGAGAATGAGCATATATCTAGGGGTTTTGGCCCCTTTTCCGCTACTCGTATTTTTGTTTATTTATTATATATTTATATATATATATATATATATATATATATATATATATATATATATATATATATATATATATATATATATATATATATATATATATATATACCCTACCTAAGCCTTCTTAGCTCCATCTACGGTAACGCAGATGAAGCAAGCATATTTAATTATTATTTAAAATAATTTCAAGCCCGACTCTGGTTTCTTAAATTATTTAATCTGATTATATTCATCGCAACAATATTGATCAGCGCTAATTAACACTGAATAAGGAATATCGAGACAATTGGAAGATTCAAATAAATAATATCCACGTCAGAAATTTAAAGATATTATTCTTAACTTTTTTTATTGTGAATTTGAAATTTCAGTGTGCGATCTAATAATATGCATAATATTAATCGTAGTTATTATAAATAAATCAACTTCTACAAACTAGTTTCTAATGTTCTACATGTTCGAAAGGGTTGCCACCCTCCCTATTGCACACATTTATTTTTCGCTCAATTTTATTTATAGCTCTTTGAACTTTTTTCTTATACTTTCGAATGGATTTTGTACTCTTTATTGTAAATGTTGAGATGAACTGATTTCACTTTTACAAATGAAGTCAAATAATGTAGGAAACCTCGCTGGACATTATACTGCTCTAGCATTTCCAATCCATCTTCCGGGAAAATTATTTGATTGCTTTTATATTTTTTTTATTAATTATTTTATATTATTTTATTGTATTCAATGTTTTACCCCACGTCATTGTTAAGTTTGAAAGTTTATCAATATTGTAACGATGAATAGATTAAATATTAAAAAAAAGAGAGACGGACTTGAAATTAGTTTAAATAAATTGTGTTCAAATGTCTAAACAAAAAAAAATATTATGTGTGGCATATCATTGTACTCAGGAGACCGAGTTCTTTCAAAATCTCAAATAAAAAATGCAGGTACGTATTTAGAAAAATTAAGTTCGCCTCTGTATCTCAAAAATTATAAGATAATTTAAAAATCTAAAAATACTATCAAATAGCCCTTATAAAGTGGCTATGAAAATGAGCAATTAGTTTTTTGATTTTCTTAAAAGTAACGACAGGAAAAAATAAAATCGATTTTCAAAAAAAACTCAGCAGTCCTTGAAATTTTTAAAACTTTTTTGATGGCATGTTGGTGAACATCCTAATAACACAACTTTGCCCCAATTTAACTATCTTCGTATCTATTACGGTTTCCGAGATACCAATGCTCGTACCTCGAATTTGTAGCACCCTGTATATTAGTCGAAAATAACTTACTGGGCTCTCATCATGGGGATGTTGATGCAATTGGCTGCTGCCACGGCTACGAAGGGCACCAACCTGCCGACGAGCGGGGGCATCTTCTGCAGTACAAAAATCATTCAGTCATTGACAGCCCCAATCTCTAAGAAGAGCGTTCTTGAAAAGATTACGGTAAAAGTCTAAACAGTCTTTTTTTCTAACTCTAACGATCTCTTTTCAAATTGAAAGTATGTCAAAAGTCGACTATTTTAGTATTTTGGCGCAGTCGGTTGGATTTTAGTACGGTATGATCAAAAAGACTTATGACAAATGACGCGCGACAGATAAATTTCATTTTTCGTTGACTAGCCTTTATACAGAGTGTTTCACAGCGATAGTAGGTTCGAAGTATATGAAGAGTTATTTAAAAAAATGCAAATTTTCGCAAAAATCTTGTCACCGGTTCTCCATTAACGTTTAATCTACCTTGACAAAGAATCACTCTGTATACAGGGTGTTTCAAAAATATGCATGTACAGGGTGTCCCATTTTGGTTGAAATCATACGGTATCTCCGTTATTAGTGAAGATAGAAGGGTGCGGTTTGCACAAACCTGTCTCACTTTTTTGTCAAACGGAAGATGCCGTAAACAAAATTTTCATAGCCCTCTTCGTTTCCGAGCTACAGGGTCTTTTTGAAAATTTTGCAATTTGGGACACCTCCTGTATCTCTGTTATTGTTAAAGCTATCGAGAAGGTGAAAACTGTTTATTGTAGAACTTTTTATGTAGAATACAGTGGCGTAGTATGTTTTTCTACCAAAAAAATATTTTTGAAAATATGAACTAAAGTTATGTTTTTTTAAATGGAAACACCCTGTATATTTATAAATCATATGATCTGTCTTGCCATAAGCTTCTCAAAAATATATATCACTCTATATTTATTTTCACTATTTACTGAAATATTTAAAAGTTTTTATTAAAAGATCATATTTATTAGTAGGCCATGATTGATAATAAAAGAAACTAAAGAATTATTAAAAGTATACTGCAATCTGTCTCTTGTTTTATTTTGGGAGCCGCTAATAAATTCTTTATATATTAGGGAAACTTAACTCTCTACCGCTATTTGTAAATCTTGGAATACGTGTATACGTAAGAATAATCTATCGTATCGGAAATTTTAGATATTCCTTTAGCTAATTTACGTGAAATATACTTTCAGCAAGATGGGGAACATTCAAATATTAGAATACTGTTAAATTATTATTTTTCAAATCAATGAATTGGAACCAATGAACGCATATTGATAGCCTCCTCGATTCCCGGATTTCGCCGTTCTCGATTTCTGATTTTGGGAATTTTTGAAATACGAAATATATCGTAGGCACTACAACAATGTCGAACACCTGAAAAATGCTTTAATAATTCAAGATTTAGATATTTGCAAACCCATCCCGTTATAAAATAAAGAAAAATATATTCACAGTTTCAGTGGTAACAGTTTTTTCAAAAGTAGAATATACCAATCCCAAATAAATTTTAATATGTGTATGACTATTTTAGTAATACCATTTTGATTTTTTGTTATTTATCACGGCCTACTAATAAGAAAATGATATATTTTAAATATTGCAGTAAATAGTGAAAATAAATATAGAGTGATATATATTTTTGAGAAGCTCATAGCAAGACAGATCATATGATTTATAAATATACAGGGTGTTCCATTTGAAAAAACATAACTTTAGTTCATATTTTCAAAAATATTTTTTTGGTAGAAAAACAGACTACGCCACTGTATTCTACGTAAAAAGTTCTACAATAAGCAGTTTTCGCCTTCTCGATACCTTTAACAATAACAGAGATACAGGGGGTGTCCCAAATTGTAAAATTTTCGAAAAAACCCTGTGGCTCAGAAATGAAGAGGGCTATGAAAATTTTGTTTACGGCATCTTCCGTTTGACGAAAAAGTGGGACAGGTTTGTGCAAACCGCACCCTTCTATCTTCACTAATAACGGAGATACCCTATGATTTCAACCAAAATGGGACACACTGTACACTTAGAAGAAAACTATAATAAATTAAAAAAAATGAAGAGATTAAAGCTTGATTGTCATGCGTCAATTTCCCGTTGATACGATGGTCCGACGGCGCTCTGATTGGTCGTAGCGTTTTCGCGCCACTTTTCAACGGAGCAATTTCGTTCTTTAAAAGATCAGGCTGGGGGCGAACTTTTGTTTACTTCATCAGCTGTACATACGTAGATATTGGGTTAGATTCTGTATTCGTATTTTGTCGGTTGATTTTTGGTATTATTTGTTATTGTAGTGTCTTTGTTATTGTAGTGCAAAAAACTAATTATTTTGATGCTTTATGTGAAATAAACTACTACTAGATATATGGTCACTCTGTTTCTCATAAAAAACACGAAATATTACACGTTTTGTTAAGTGCTTTAACCTAAAAGTGCCCATAAGTTTTTTATTTGTCATTATCATAATTTTTGTGTGTGTTTTTTAAGACTATAACAACTCATCAATAAAGCTTAAGTGGAGTGTGTTTTTGGTGCTATGCCTCATCTTTATTGTGTTCCTGGTTGCAAGGATAGTTATACTCGGCAGCCTAAAGTGTCCGGAAGAGCAAGAAAAGTGGGTACGAGTTATAAATCAAGACAATTCTACTGAAAATATCGTTAATAAATTTAAAAATAATATTCTCCCAGGATGGTATTAAAAAATTGACAATTATGTTTATTTTATTCATATTGTGGAATCTCGACTCCAAGTGTTGTTGGTTCAGCTTCGATAGATTCAAACACGGAAGTAGGTATTATGATCTAGGGAAAAATAAAGAATATGCGTATTAAAGATCATGAAAAAGATTATTAATTTGAGTTCAAAATTAAAAAGATTTTTGCAAAGACAAGAATGATAAAGTTTAAAAGAAGAATGTGTTTTTGTTTGATATTTTTGTTCAGTAATTTTTAATGAATAGTGTTGTATAGTCAATAAATTGGTATGGTTATGGTCAATAAATTGGTATGGTTAACAAAATTAAGTTTTAATGATAAAGGTGTTACTAAAAATAATAAGACATTCATATTTCTTTGTTTTAATATTTTATTATTATGTTTAATATTTTAAATGTCATTTTTTGGATTATATTCGACACTATTTTTTTTATATGACCCAACACTGATGAAGGCTATAATGTTAGCCGAAACGTTTTTTTTTAAACCAAATAACAATAATGAAAAACCAAATGAAAACTTAATCAGCGTTTTTCCCGAACCTAAATCCCAAGGAAATAAAAAATTTTAGAATAATTTTACATATAAAATAACAGCGATCTTCATTTCATGATAATTATTTAATTTATTATTAATTCATAGCCATCGCTGACACCTTTTTTTCTATGATATTGTATTATTTGCAAATATAATTTTTCGAACATTGATACTTGCAAAATATAAAATATACATATAAATTTTGTGAATGCAAATAATAATACATCACTATTAGTAGATATTGAATGTTTTTTGTTAAATTAGATCGATTTTCAAACCCCATAATTTAAAATATATTTTACATTTTACCCATTATCTTATGTACCTATTCATTATTTGTATATTGTAAAACATGTGCTGCATTTGTATGGTTCATAGTTTATTTGCCAAAGTGTTTATTAATAACTGTGTGTATAATTTGTATGTATATATATATATATATATATGTATAATTACATATATATATATATATATATATATATATATATATATATATATATATATATATATATAGTATATATGTATATATATATATATATATATATATATATATATATATATATATATATATATATATATATATATATATGTATATATATATATATATATATATATATATATATATATATATAATATATATATATATATATACATATATATATATATATATATATATATATATATATATATATATATATATATATATATATATATATATATATATATATATATATATATAGTATATATATATATATATATATATATATATATATATATATATATTATATATATATATATATATATATATATATATATATATATATGTATTATATATATATATATATATATATATATATTGTATTTAATAACTGTATATTATGTATATTTCATGTAAACTATATCATTTTTAAATTACAAACCAAAAATATGAAGAATACTTATGTTTTCCATGTATTCTACAACATATTTATTAATCCGTAGTATCTAACTAGCGTGACGTTATAAATCTCGCCCCCAGGCTGATCTTTTAAAGAACGGCATTGAATGGAGGCATGAAAATGCACTAAATTTAAAAACTGGGTAATTTTCTAACCAATCGAAATCTTTAAATTCAATCACTAAAATTAATATCGTATCATCGGATCGTCGGACAACGGATGCATGAAAATCAAGCTTAACTCCCTGAAGCTAGGAAACAAAGCAGAATCGGGCTTATGTTAATATAAAAAAAAATCTCCCCAAGAGAGACGACACATGCTGAAGAAACACCCTCTATATATTGTATAAGATTATCAGAGCTTACTTTGACTAAACTGTTGAGTCCCAAAGCAGTACCAACTGCTCCCGTAGTTGCGAAGACGTACGAAGTTAGAATCTGCCTAAAAAAATAGCAAAATACCTTAAATTTTGTTAATTAAAAAAACTATGGGGCTCTTACTTGTCTGTTTGTTTTACATCTCCACTCCGGTTCGTATAGTTCACTAGGGCATTGAAGGACTGATTCAGCCATTGCCAGAATATTACCGCGGGAGCAGTTTTGTAGAACGTGAGCATACCGCCACTGATCAACATATTCATTGGTACCTATATGAGAAAATTTGTAATGAATATCCCTCTAATGAGGGAATAAAGACACAATATTCTCACAAATTTGTAGTAGAGGTGGGAATTCTAGTTCCTTGGGAGAAACTAGTTCCTTAGTTCTAGTTCCTCCAGAGGAATAGTTTTTTGAACTAGATTTTTAGTTCACAATAGTTCCCGACTAACATTGACATCCCCGTTGCTTGTTAATGGGTTTTGTTGTCAGTCAGAACTATTCACAGTATGATCTGTATAATTTTTATAATGTACGAAATAGAACGAGACGTGTAATTGCGTAAGTAAAAAACACATAGGTAAGTTTTATTGCAGATAAAAAAATTAAAAAAGAAACTCAAATCAGAGTTTAAAAAATTTATGGAAAGCTCCGTTCATTAAAATGTTGTATCCTATGTTATAGGGCTTGTTTTTCTCTACAATTTCCTGTCTCACAATGTACCGTTTGTGTCCGGGAAGGGTTCATAGTTTCATAGTTGTCGATTTTCGAAAGAAATCAGTACATGTATATTATTCCGTATATTTTTCATTTTATTGATTTTATGGGAAGCATTGTTCATTAAAATGTTGTATCCTATGTTATAGGGCTTGTTTCTCTCTACAATTTCCTGTCTCACAATGTACCGTTTGTGTCCAGGAAGGGTTCATAGTTTCATAGTTGTCGATTTTCCAAAGAAATCAGTATATGTATATTATTTCGTATATTTTTCATTTTATTGATTTTATGGAAAGCATTGTTCATTAAAATGTTGTATCCTATGTTATAGGGCTTGTTTCTCTCTACAATTTCCTGTCTCACAATGTACCGTTTGAGTCCAGGAAGGGTTCATAGTTTCATAGTTGTCGATTTTCGAAAGAAATCTGTACATGTATATTATTGCGTATATTTTTCATTTTATTGATTTTATGGAAAGCACTGTTCATTAAAATGTTGTATCCTATGTTATAGGGCTTGTTTTTCTCCACAATTTCTTGTCACACAATGAAACGTTTGTGTCCAGGAAGGGTTTATAATTTCATAGTTGTCGATTTTGAAAGAAATCAGTACATGTATATTCTTTCGTATATTTTTTCATTTTATTGATTTTATGGAAAGCACTGTTCATTAAAATGCTGTATCCTATGTTATGGGGCTTGTTTCTCTCTACAATTTCCTGCCTCACAATGTACCGTTTGAGTCCAGGAAGGGTTCATAGTTTCATAGTTGTCGATTTTCGAAAGAAATCTGTACATGTATATTATTGCGTATATTTTTCATTTTATTGATTTTATGGAAAGCACTGTTCATTAAAATGTTGTATCCTATGTTATAGGGCTTGTTTTTCTCTACAATTTCCTGTCTCACAATGTACCGTTTGTGTCCAGGAAGGGTTCATAATTTCATAGTTGTCGATTTTCGAAAGAAATCAGTACATGTATATTCTTTCGTATATTTTTCATTTTATTGATTTTATGGAAAGCACTGTTCATTAAAATGCTGTATCCTATGTTATGGGGCTTGTTTCTCTCTACAATTTCCTGTCTCACAATGTACCGTTTGTGTCCAGAAAGGGTTCATAGTTTCATAGTTGTCGATTTTCGAAAGAAATCAGTACATGAATATTATTTCGTATATTTTTCATTTTATTGATTTTATGGAAAGCACTGTTCATTAATATGTTGTATCCTATGTTATAGGGCTTGTTTCTCTCTACAATTTCCTGTCTCACAATGTACCGTTTGTGTCCATGAAGGGTTCATAGTTTCATAGTTGTCGATTTTCGAAAGAAATCAGTACATGTATATTATTTCGTATATTTTTAATTTTATTGATTTTATGGAAAGCACTGTTCGTTAAAATGTTGCATCCGATATTATAGGGCTTGTTCCTCTCTACAATTTCCTGTCTCACAATGTACCGTTTGTGTCGGGGAAGATTTTAATTTTCTTTCCTCCGCTAAAAATCGGCTTTTCGTTTAAGAATCACGATCATATTATTTTTTCATGTCTTAGATTTCTAAGAATTAGAAAAAAATCATCATTAATTAATTTTGAATTTTACTATAAAAATAAAAATAAAATTGAAAAAACAGTTTTTTTTGAAAATCTGGAAAACCGTTTGAGTTAAAGAGCTAAAAATTTAGGTGAATTATTTTCATTTGACACCAAATCTATTCCCTGAGTGCGAGTCAAAAAAGCTGCGGGGGTAGATTTCCCATATTAATCCGGCTATACTCTTTTATTTAAATCGGACGATTTTTTTTGTTAGTTCGAGTTTCAGCTCCCTAACTCACATAGGGCTTGAGTTACGATCCTCCAAGGTCGTTACCGCTTTTTCTCTCGCGTCTCGTGTGTCATGGCCCGTGTCACGGCCTTCAATTTTTACTCTCATCGCGCTAAAAAAAGTTTTACTTCAAAAAAAATCTCGAAACAATCACCGGTTACAAAATCAACACAAAAATGTTTTTTATTATTATTGAACCCACTGACATTATTTTTTACTGACCTGTGCTGACATGCGACCAATCAGCATCATTTTCTCGCCAGTATCTGGGTGATAAGCTGAGTCGTACAGTTGTTTCGCCCTCCATAGGTCATCCTCAGTGACATTTGGTGGTAATTTCTGTTGACATCTGCGATAAACGAATTTAAATTTTTGAATACTGATTTCGTTTACTAAATATTTTACATGAAGCGAATTTATGTAAAATTCACCCTGTTAGTTCAGTCATTGGGGATCAAAAAAGGGGTCTGCTTGGAAAAAAGTCCGGAAGTTTTGAAACTTTGCAGGTTTATAGGTTTTGGGGTCCCTAACTTTAAAATCCATAAAATGCACATTTCCAGACTTGCCGCCTGCGCCGCCATCTTGCCAAGATGGCGCCCAAAATCGGTATTTTGTAAATATCTCGAAAACTATGCGTTTTTCGTAAAAATTTAAAGAGAGCAAAATCATAAATTAATGAGCGAATTAATGATACGCCACTGTTTTATGACAAAATTGAAGAAACTAAACTAAAACTAGTTTTAGTGAACCCTAATCGATATTTGATTTCGGAAAATCGACTATACGTAATATATCATATTTTACGCAAAATTGTAAAATTTCCAGTCATTTTGTGCCTAAACGGTTGACTTTAGCGAAAATTTTCATAAAACCTTTTTTATAGGAAATTATATTCTCTTTAATTTTACCCTCATAGAATTTTCGCGAAAAACGCATAGTTTTCGAGATATTCACAAAATACCGATTTTGGGCGCGGCGGCAAGTCTGAAAATGCATTTTATGGATTTTAGTTAGGGACCCCAAAACCTATAAACCTGCAAAGTTGCAAACTTCCGGACTTTTTTCCAAGCAAAAATCCCCAATGACTGAACTATTTACCCGGATGAAAAGGACGTCACAGTAGGACAGTAGGCATAGAAATAATATTTTAGTTCGAGTTTTCCCAAAATCAGCAGCACTGCATGAAATAAAATGTTACCAATATTCAATATACACATGCCTATTTTTTCAATTTTTTATTTTGTTTATAATATTTATTTCAATTCTAAAATTTCGAAATAAAAAGTAAATAAATATTAGTACTACAAACAAATTAGTGTAAACTATAAATCATAATAAATCAATTTAAATTAAATAAGATCAAAAATAAATACGAACCTTATCTATAATTTACAGTCATTAGAGTTAATTACTATACAGAGAAATAAGAAAAAATAGATAAGGGTTAATAAAAATAGATATCAGTGCTGATACTACAGGGTGTCCCAATATTCCGTGGCCATAGAACTATTACGTATTTTTGGAATTTGGCGACAATTTGGAAGCGATGGCGACAGCGCTGCCAGATTGTGATGGATTTATGAGATGAATCTTAATTTAAAAGTGACAAACAATATATTTATTATATCATTTGTTAAAGGTTTTTACGTTTTATTTTTAGGGAAGCGGGGGAAGCACCGCTTCCATGGACCAGACGCCGCTACTTTGACTGCAGTCAAGGGTAATAAGGACCTTTATTGTCACGTTCTCGTTCAAAATAATTTATCAGGGAAGCTGCAAGCTCTTTGCTTCGACTGTTTAAATGCTTCGGCATATTTTCAACAAAAAATTTCAAGAAATGCAATACAAAAACTCGAAAATTTAGTTTTTAAAAGAACTGTTTGTGTTTTTAAAGTACAATTTTTAATAAAAACTATGAAAATAGGCAAAAGAACGAGAATTACTCACAAAGATTCAACAACAACACGATATTATACAAAATAATGACTGACATTAGGATAATTGTCTTTAATCTAAATAAAATATCTCTTACAATCGTTTGCTCTATAAAGTCAAATGAAGAGCTGCTCGGGATCTTAAATTATACAACAAATTTAAAGATTTTTGCCAAAATTTCATTTAGTCAAATTTATAAATTTTAGTGTCAATGATTGATGACGTGCATCGGAAAATGTTTTGCGATTACTATAGTAGTTCTATATTGAAGGAATTTTAGGACGCCCTGTATATTGAATAATTTTTTGTTTTAAACATTTATCTATTTGCACTCTGTGTAATAAAAAGTGACATAACTATCTCTGTCAACTGAAAAAAAAAACGTAACACTTAGTTTTTTTTAAAAGACAAATAATCTGAACTGTTACGAAATAGATCGGATCAGCTAGTGACATTTATAAAGCTACTATGACGCCGTTTTTTTTTCGATTCTATGGCACTATTAAAAAAGGCGTGTCTTACTTGTACTGTTGGACCAAACATTTTGCCGCTTCCAACTGGCGACTACTAGCAAATATATTCAATGGATTGGTGGTGAGAAAAAAATGTTTGGCTCGTCCTACATATGTCTCCTGGTCGTACCTGGGTTCGTCTAAGTTTATTTTCTGCTTTACGCACGCGCACTCATTGACCATCATCTTGGAATCGAAAAATTTAGGTTTTTCTGAAATAAAATGTTAACACTAATGAAAATTAATAAAGAATGTTTGTCATTGGTTTTGTGATAATATGCTTATTACAACATTTCTAATAATTTTATTTTTGTCGCTCCAAAACTGATACCAGCCTGAGATTGATGCAATTCTAACAGATTATTTTTATTTATTATTCTATACAGGGACTACATTCATTAAAAACAATTCTAACTAAACAAAATCAATAATGTTTTGTGAACATATTTCTTACATATTATATTATTTTATATTTTAGAAAGTTTGGTAGTAGAATTTTGAACATCCTGTATGATTTACGATTATAGCCATATTTATAGCAAAGTAAGTACAGACCATCTAAACTAAATACCTAATATACAGGGTGGTCCGAACTGTATTCCGGAAATTTCGGCAGCATATTCTGCAGATAAAAGTAAGTAAAAAAGTTCGTATAAATGTATGTCCTAAAATGCTTAGTTTCGGAGATACAGGGTGTAGAAGTCTCATTTTTATTTCGATTTTTTCCAAATAATTTTTGCAGTAACGTCAATATTTGGATGAAAATTGGTGTCTGTGAGTTTTTTGACATGAGAAATTTGATTTTGATGTCAATATGACTCCTACTAATAGAGGGCTACTAATATGCTAATTATATTTTTTTTTAAGAAATAAAGGCTGAAAAATAAATATTTTTTATTTATTTATTAACATTTCTGAAACTATCGAAATATATTTACTCATATCTTAGGATTATGTAAGTGATCTGAAAGGAAGCGAAAAATTCAATAATATACAGGGTGTTCCTTTTAAAAAAGTCATCCCGGTCCGCTCACACTTTTTTGAGCCACCCCATAGAAGTTAAAATATTTTCCCGAAATACATCCTAGTACGTACTTTAGGTATGCACTTAAACAAAATTCCCAAGTTTTTATTCTAGGAGCTACAGATGCCCGACGCACTTTTGTCGGACCCTGTATAGTCTAAAGAAATCTAAAATTTAAATGGAATTTATTTATAAATTAATATGCTGAATTTCAACATTTTTATCGTGTATAATATTTGTTTATAATGTACTGTATTCCGAAATCATAATTTTAGAAATTTGTATTCCAAAAAATGTAAAATTATTTAAATATGTGCTATTGATATATTTAGTTGTTTAATGTATATTTATAGGATATTATTTTATTCTAATAAAACAATATATATATAACACCTTATCTCTGTAATCATATTAAAATATATTGACTTACCTTATTTTCTAAACAATGCTATATTCTTATCAGAGAATGTAGGGAACAATTGTGTTAATTTTATATCACAAATTCAGCACAGTGTCGCGTTTAACATTTTTCCAAAACGTTCTTTTTCTTTTTGAATTTCGATCGCAAATTTTGATTAATCCTTCGAAAGTCTAGCCCGAAATGTCACTACAGAAAATTCGACTTTCCGATTTAAATTTTTAGATCGCTATGACGACCATGCGACCTTGTGAACTGTTTGTCTTTAAATTAACACATTTCTCGTTTTAAGATAAACTTCGAAAATTTATCTCGCTCTTATCCTACGACTTTTAATCAGTTCTTTTTAATAAACCGCTAAAAAAGAACAAATCTTATGTGTGGAGTAGACAAGGCGCAGCTTTATTTTGCGTGGTTTCAATTCTGCGCTAATTCTAACATGCGCTTGCGAAAAAATATTGATTATTCAAGAAAAATAGTTAAAATAATGAAAATAAATAATCTTTTATAAACTTTTTTAATAATTTATACTGTATTTAGTGTTTTAATACAGTTTTAAAGCGTTCTTGATTAAAAAAAGACAAATAAACAAATATGTATTTTAAATTTGGCGACAGAAAAATTAATACTGATTTACTAGTTGCCTACTCTATAGAATTAATAAAGTTTTTAATATAGTTATTTATTTTTAGAAAACTGATATCGTGGTATAATTAACAATTAATTATTACGGTTACTGCGATTATTCTATCATAATTTTATTAATAATAAAATGAGTATGTTATAAAATTAAAATTAAAGATTGATAAGAAAGTATTACTAGTTACATATACCGCGAAACTCTTTTAAAATAATTTTTAAGTCGCTTAAAAGAGCTCCTAAACATTTTGTTATGTTACAAAGAAAAATATCACGAAATAATCTTTATTTGGCATTAAAGGTAAAGGCAGTAGTTTGTAGTTTTATAAGAAAGTTCTTCTCTGTGTCGTCAGTCGTCACCACCTTTCAAAATTACCAGCTGATGCAGGTGACAGTGACAGTGACAGCTGGTCCGTTGCCAGCACATCATGGCCGACCAAAAGCAGACGAAAGAAGTCTGCACGGTTTTATTCCTGTGTGTATCATGGTACGTGGTCAGCTCGACCAACAATGTGGTCGGGAAGACCGTCCTCAACGAATTCCCGTACCCCATGACCATGACGATGGTCCAGCTGCTCAGTATCACCGTCCTAAGTGGACCCCTTTTCAAGCTATGGGGTGTACGAAGACACGTAGATATACCCTGGAATTACTACTTAAAACTTATCGTTCCTCTGGCTCTGGGTAAGTTCGTTGCCAGCGTCTTCAGTCACGTCAGTATTTGGAAAGTTCCTGTGTCCTATGCCCATACAGGTAAGTGTTTTGAGTTTTGTAGGTTAGGTGTTAACATATGTTTATTTTGCTTTTATTTAAAGCTATTATTGGAATTATATGTGGTTTAATTTGTTCTAGTTAAAGCAACAATGCCCTTATTCACTGTGGTTTTGTCCAGGATAATCATGGGGGAGAAACAAACCTTTAAAGTGTATTTAAGTTTAGTACCAATTATCCTCGGAGTTGCTATTGCTACTTTAACTGAAATCAGCTTTGACATGATTGGTTTAGTCAGTGCTTTAGTGGCAACAGCAGGTTTTTCTTTACAGAACATTTTCTCAAAAAAGGTAATGAACTTTTATACAAAGTTTTTACTTGCTTTAATATTTTATTTTGTTTGTTTCTAGGTATTAAAAGAAACCAAAATTCATCACTTAAAACTCTTACACATACTGGGCAGACTTGCTTTATTTATGTTCTTGCCTATCTGGATATATGCAGACCTGATAACTTTGTTAAACGATAAATCTGTGGTAAGTACAATGAAACATTTATGTTAAAAGAATGTAATCTTTAAAAGAAACATAATACGTTGATAAATTAATACAATAAGCTTTTGGTTTTGATAAATGGGATTTTAAGTCATTGCATTTTATCTAAAGCTGTACAATTTCTTAGTTTATGATCTTGTAAAACTTTATTGAACTTTCCCAATTTAGATTTTTTTAAGTAGTTTTTGATATTGACATTATATTTTTTATGGCACTAAAAGTAGAATATTTTACAATACCTAAGTAGTATCTGCTGTTATTCTCTTATTTTCTGTATTAATTAAAATGTTTATTAATTACTATAATTTATAGATTATACAGGGTATTCACCTTATTCGACACAGAGTATTGTAGCCAAACAATTATTGGATTTTTAGAAACTGTGAGTGATTTATTTATTAAAATATGGTCTAAATTATAAGAAAATGCATTTTCTACGGAAACTTGAGGAGATAAGTAAAAATTATATAATACAATTTGATAGACAATTAAATTGTGCATCTGATTCACGTAAAACATACAGGGTGTTGCATTTAAATTAACCAAGTTATTACCGTTTAAAGTTAGTAATTATTTATTATCAATTTTTTCACACTCTGTATAAGGTAGTATTACTTTTATTATTGCAACACAAAATTTAGTAAATAGAAAAAGTTTAGGACCATATTTGGTTTTAAAAACTTAAATACACTTAGAGAAATGAAGCATTAAAACTGTTAGTGTATTTTCACAAAATCGTAAATGTTTCAAAAATGGTAAGATTAAAGTACGGTAAACCTTAATCAAATTTACCTTTATTTTACTTCTAGAAACTAAAAATGGAATAATATATAGGTTGTTTTGTTTAAAAAAATACAACTTTGATATTTTTTCTTTATTTGGGACACCCTGGACCTTTTGAAAATAATTTTAAATTCTAGCTTTAGTAGTTCCTCCAACAATCCCATCACTCACAATTTATAAAAACCCAATCATTGAGAATGAGGTGAACAACCCTGTACACTGTACAGGGTGTCCCACTAAGAATAGCTCTCGGCTGTATCTCGGAAAGTATTAGCCGTAACGGCTGCGGAAAAAAATATTTGTAACTAAAGAGGCTATGGGAAATTGCTGGAAATTATTTTCAAGTTTGTAGAACGACCGCTAGGGGGCGCAACTGCAACAAAAAATAAGAAAATGGAGTTTTTACACAATTTTGCCTAGATAAAGCGTACTATAAGTAACAGCTTCATAATCTTCAGTAAATTTTGAATATTTTTTGTTTGAGCCATTTTCCCCTATCTACCAAAATAAAGTGGTGGGGGAAGGCTAGATCTGTTTTTATTTGAATATTAATAACTCTGGACTGGATGATCGGAATCCAACAAGCGAGGGCTCGTTTAAAAGAGCGTTTCTTACTCTATATTATACCATATAAACAATAATAATAAGATTTTGAACGTAGACGCTAGGGGGCGTTGTCTTACAATTTAACAAACATTGCGCGTTTTTTCAAAAAAATTAAGTACGATAGAATATGTAATTTTAGCTGATAGTAAAGAGTAGTAAAAGCTTAAAAAGTCAGCGAAAACCGCATCTTGATATCTTCTTTCAAACCGAAGATATTAGCAAAATTATAATAAATACCAAAAAATAAGCCCCTTAATTACCTTATTTTCACAACACGGTATCAGTAGCACTCTTGATTATGCCCATTCTAACCTAAAAATAAGATAGAAACAGTTAGTTTATTTTAAAATCGACGATATACCAGAATATCATAATATCAGATGTATTAATATCTAATAATTAAGATATTAATAATAGTGAACAAGAAACGATGATTCAGTGAAGTCTTGGTAGGCTTTGGAAAAAAGTTGCTTTTGACGTAATAGTATAAACGTCAAATTCTTATTAGATCAACATTTTGATAGTCTTGGCAGCGTTTTTTATCTTTTGATTGCTTTTTCAAAATGCCAACAACTTCAACTACTTCAAATAATAAAGGCATTTTGAAAAAGCATTTAAAAGATAAAAAACGCTGCAAAGACTATCAAAATGTTGATCTAATAACAATTTGAGGTTTATACTATTACGCGAAAAGCAACTTTTTTCGAAAGCCTACCATTACTTCACTGAATCATCGTTTCTTGTTCATTATTATTAATATCTTAATTATTAGATTTTAATATATCCGGTATTATGGTATTCTGGTATTTCGTCGATTTTAAAATAAACTAACTGTTTCTATCTTATTTTTAGGTTAGAATGGGCATAATCAAGAGTGCTACTGATACCGTGTTGTAAAAATAAGGTAATTAAGGGGCTTATTTTTTGGTATTTATTATAATTTTGCTAATATCTTCGGTTTGAAAGAAGATATCAAGATGCGGTTTTTGCTGACTTTTTAAGCTTTTACTACTCTTTACTATCAGCTAAAATAACACATACTATCGTATTTAATTTTTTTGATAAAACGCGCTATGTTTGTTAAATTGTGAGAAAGCGCCCCCTAGCGTCTACGTTCAAAACTTATTATTATTATTTTTATGGTATAATATAGAGTAAGAAACGCTCTTTTAAACGAACCTTTGTTTGTTGGATTCTGATCATCCAGTCCGGAGTTATTAACATTTAAATGAAGATAGATCTAACCTTCCCCCACCACTTTATTTTAGCAGATAGGGGAAAATGGTTCTAACAAAAAAAATCCAAAATTTACTGAAGATTATGAAGCTGTTATTTATAGTACCCATTATCTATGCAAAATTCTGTAAAAAATCAATTTTCTTATAGCAGTTGCGCCACCTAGCGGCCGTTTTAGAAACTTGAAAATAATTTCCAGCAATTTCTCATAGCTCCTTTAGTTATAAATATTTTTTTCCGTCCTTAGTGGGACACCCGGTACAGTTTATAGATTATAATATTATATAATTTTATCTGGATTGGCTTTAGACATATCATGACTACAAGGTTATTAGTCTCCTCATTGCCGATGGTGTGTTGAATTGGTTACAGAACATTATAGCATTTAGTGTTCTATCTCTAGTTACCCCTTTGACATATGCAGTGGCAAACTGCAGCAAAAGAATATTTGTTATTGCAATATCCCTCTTCATTTTGGGAAACCCTGTAACTTCTATGAACGTACTTGGTATGATGACGGCCATTTTAGGCGTTTTGTATTATAATAAGGTATTTTTTTGTTTTTCTAATACAACTGTACTTTTTTTTAAATTATTTTTATGGTTTTTAGGCTAAATATGATCAGAAAAAGCAGCAAGAAAAAGAGACTGTGTTGCCATATGCTGATAAATCATGGCAACAAGACAAGATTAGTTATACTCCTATAAAATATCAGAATGGTAGTGTTCATAGTGAATATATGAATGGTTATAGTAACGGAGATTTGAATGGTTTGAATAACAATTATAGTTATAATTCGAGGACTATGCGAACGAAAGGAAACTTACTTTTTTCGTAAAAATTTGTAATGGAATGTTAGGAAGAATATTTTTAAGTACAAAATGTGATTATATATACACTGTGTAGAGAAAATTGAACGGTAAATAATTGAATTTCTACAGTATGTCCCTGAATTGTTTTTACAGGAAAACACATTTTTATTATTTACATTTTAAGAAAAATGCATTTTTCATGAATGTTTTTGCTTGTTCTAAAATTTATATATGATATCATAAATATATAAAAATACCATACATATAGATTAGGTATATATGATATCATATTGTCGGTCAAATGTGGTAAACTCCATTATTCCTAATTTTACAGGCGATAAAAAAATAATATAAAAATATCTACACATGTAGCAAGTATATGCATGCGTTAATATGATAAAAAAATAACAATAATATTTGTTGGGGAACAATAAAACTCTTAACTTATTTTTGATATTTGGAAAAAAAATCAACCAGATTTTCGTATTTTTTAAATTTTTTTCTGTAAGGGCTCGAACACACTGACGCACAGTGGGCAAAAATCCAGAAGTATGTTGCAAAAATTCTTTTATTGTACGATTTCATTCAAATTTGGTAAAAACATTCTATGCCAGTAGCTCGTGAACCCAGTTAGTTTTGACTGACTTGAGATTGGCTGGGGGTGGTGGGGAGGATTCATAAAATGGAAAAATCATCTTTTGACTAATACAGCTACCAAAATGCGGTAAGAATATTTTACATTTCACTAAATTTTACGATTTTTGGCAGAGCCAAGATGAAACAGACAAATATTGAGCAATTATTACTCCTCCGGCATATACAGGGTTTGTTAGGTTAGGTATATATATTGCTACATCCTCTGTAGCAATATATATATCTGTGTATACATCCTCTGTATCTTTTTTATTCGACGTTTTCGAAATGTGTCTTGAATAAAAGTTTAATGGTCTGGAATACATCTTTCAAAACAGTCTTCTTTGCATATACCGGGTGCCTTAGAAATCCTGTGCGTGGCCCAACTTTCTTATTTCAAATTAGTACCCAATTTTTTATTTATTTTTTTTATTTTCTTCTAAAAATCCTAACTACTTTTATGTAGCATATCCTATACCTAATTTGAAATAAGATAGTTGAACCACGCCCAGATTTTTTGAAGCACTTTGGATATGCGAAATGGATTTTTTGGCAAACCAAACCAAAAACCACTTTCATTTGAGACAGTTTTCGGAAACGTCAAATAAAAAAGATAAAGGGGGTGTCAATGTATAAAAGGAAACCCTAAGTATACTAATCCAATCGAACTTTTATTCAAGATTGTTTGTCATTTGAATAAGTTGGGTCTCTAATAATACCAGACAATATGTGAACAATATTTTATTATTATATTTTAAATAAGTAACAATATTCTGAGACTTAAACAATGACTTTATCAATATAATGCTGAAAATCTCACGAGTTACATGTCTCACTCTACACATATTAAATTACATAGACGTAGGATGTAGAATATTCTGTTTTGAAACGACTGATGGAATAGCAGGCATCGCGGATTTGAAAAACATGGAAATAACGACGTTATCGTGTAGTCGGGGTTGGAGATAGTCGGGGTAAGTATTTATTAACGAAAAATCCAAGAATATTTTAAATGTATTATTTAATATTAGAACATTTAATAAGCTCACGAATAGCAACTTCGCTTTTTAGTTAACTCGGATATTTTAACATTTCTGAAACTTAATTTTTTCTGAAACAATATTTTCTAATTGGTAAAACGTAAAACATCGTTAGATCTGACAACTCTGTTGAAACTGGTCGTTCATCTGGCCGCAGCTATAAACGCAATGCATCCGGCCAGCTGACGGCCAGGGCGTTGTGACCTGGTCGTCAGTGAGTTCGAGCCCTAAAACGGTATTGATTTGTAAAAGTATAAACGATTAACCATTTAAGAACAAGCAAAAACTTATAAAGAATACATTTTTCTCAAAAAGTTAATAATGAATAGTTTTTCCTCTTGTAAGACAATCTGGGGACATACAGTATATTGAATGATATTTTTAATTGACTATAACAATTAGAAAAATACTGAGTGGATTTAATGTAAAAATAAATTTATTTTTATGTTGATTTGTTATGAATACTAGTCTTACCTTTATACGGTGCTAATAATGCATAAGAAGCAAAAAATGAAGGTAGCGATCTTAAAATAAAAAAAAATCTTGAATGCACTGTGTAGTTGAAAAAAAACGGCGCCATAGAAACGATGATCAATAAAATTTTTGTTGGTCCACCTTCTATATGTATGTTCTTCTATAAGTTTTAATGTCAATTTTTAATAAATAAAATAGTATGGAAGTCGGCCCATCGGTAGTCGTTCTCAAAGCTGCTATGACGCTATTTTTTGGTTTGCTATTTTACTATTACTTATATCAACAGTTTTAAAGAAATATTCATTTCAGTCTTTGTATTCATTGTAGATCTAATAATTTAATATAAATATATAGGGTGGTCCGAACTGTATTCCGGAAACTTGGGCAGCATATTCTGCAGATAAAAATAAGTAAAAAAGTTTGTATAAATGTATGTCTTAAAATGCTTAGTTTCGGAGATACAGGGTGTAGAAGTTTCATTTTTATTTCGATTTTTTCCAAATAACTTCTGAAGTAACGTCAATACATGGATGAAAATTGGTGTCTGGGAGTTTTTTGACATGGAAATTTGATTTTGATGTTAGCATGACTCCTACTTTTAGAGGGCGCCAAACTTCTACACCCTGTATCTCCGAAACTAAGCATTTTAGAACATACATTTATAGGAACCTTTTTACTTATTTTTATCTGCAGAATATGCTGTAAAAGTTTCCTTGTCACCCTGTATTGTATTTTGTGTGTATTTTTTGGCATACTTTTTTGTGTATATATTTTTTATAAAATTGCTCAAGTATTTAAACAGTCTTGTCATTTACACTGGTAGCCAAATATATATGTTTATTATATTTTTTTAAATCAATTTTAGAGAAAGTTATTTTTAAGAAATACTGTACATATTATTGTAAAAATGCTTGTTTTAGCTATACCTACATATAGTATCTATATAACTAAAATAATCATAGACTTAAAATAAAATATAGACTGAGCATCTCATTCATAAATAGCTGGAACATGCGGTCAGACAATGTCTTGTTATTGTTGTGTTATTGTTTTAGGTTATAACGAGTGCGACACGAGCGATAGATAGGTTGTCTCTGTCGTAACGGTCGTTCCCTGACGACTCTGCCGAGAAACACAACACTGTCTTTCGTTTCTCAAGAACTCTCCGTATCATAGCCGGGTAATTTTTTTATTTTAATGAAGCTATAATAATTAAATTAGAAATATATCGTATTTAAACTTTTTTATATTTTATTAAGATTTAGGACAGGTTTTTTAAATAAAAATTTATAAAAAACGTCTTAGAGTCCAAAAAGGATAAAAATAATAAAATACACGTTATAGAAGAAATTTTATAATCGAAATGACGTAATTTTTGAAATTAATAATAAATTATTAATTTTAGTCAAACATTTACAACTCCTAATATTAATCAAAACAGGATCTATTCCACAGATATAATAGAATCGGCGACAGGGAGAGAAAAAAATATATGATTGTTGTAATTTTTTTCTGGTTAAGTGATCTCTTATGTAAATTAGAGAAAACATAAATCTGTTCCATTAAAGCAAGGAAGGTGATAGGAACTGGATAAAATGAAAACTACATTTATTTAACTCGGTACTGTCTTTATTGTACCGGGTCCGTCCCAAAAGTGGCTCATCCCCATAATTTTTTTATATTTTTAAATAAAAAAACAAGATTTAGTATGTTAGTATATGACATAAATTAGGATTGATTGACGCATTCAATTGTTTTTCGTCACTTCCTGTTTCACCGGAAATGACTATAACTTTTAATTTTTAAACGGCACCCTCGGTATATTTCTACTTTATTCGATAGAAAATGACACTCTGAATAGAATGACATATCATATGTCAACTTTTGACATTTTCGCATATGGTTTAATTGTAATTGTAACACGCGGTTCATAACGACAATTTGACTCGAAATACCAAGTGTGTGGTAATAATATCCATAAAAAATGCTTTTTCCAAATATGCTAATGAGTCACCCTTGTTCCATTTGAAAAAATTGACATATGTATGATTAAAAATACGATTTGTACATCTTTTAACCGGCCTAGACAAGACACGAAACCTATTAGACGATCAAAACTATTTTTCCAAGGCTCCTTGATTAGAACTTAGTGTTTTTAACAACACCATGGCACACTGGATTGAAATTTAAAATAGGATTTGTTTTTAAGCGACAATATCAAAAGTTGACATATAATATGTCATTCTATTCGAAGTCATTTTTTATCGAATAAAGTAGCAATATACCGGGGGTGCCTTTAAAAATCAAAAGATGTAATCATTTCGGTGAAACAGGAAGAGACCAAAAATAATTGAATACGTCAATAAATCCAAAATTTATGTCATATACCTAGTAACATACAAATCTGTTTTTTTTAATTGAAAAAATAAAAAAGTTATAGGGGTGAGCCACTTTTGAGACGACCCGGTATATTAAAAAACATTGTTTCAAAATGTACTATCATTTTAAAATTATTGTATGTTATTTTAGATTCTAAAGATAATTTTAGAATAAACCGGAATATATTTTTAATAAAAACATTATTAGTTATTAACAGGGTTATAATTATGATTTTGTTTCAATGTAAGTAGGTAAATAATGTAATGTAAGAGAAAAAATTCAGATTTTACATTTTACTAAAATATTATCTAAATAAGCGCCTTTCTACAACAACGCCACTGACTCCCAATGGGTAAATTGAGAGTTGCCTACCGGTCAAAAGTCGTTTCAAGACTTAAATGGATTATTTAAGTCAAATTTCTTGTAATTTGGCACTGGCGAACCATATTTTATAGTTCTTGAACAGAAAAAGTCAATAAAATAAACACTTAAGGACTACAAGCTAAGAAAATGCGTTAATACAGCCGGGGAGATAGCGGCAACAAAGCTTTACCGCACACGTGCGACACGTACTACAAGGTAATAAATGAATGGATGGGCTCCCTCGCCTCTAATCGGTGTTGTTATATTGTAAAGAACTTATCCTTTTTAAACAGTATCCGACTTATAATTTAGTAGTATAAGGACTATATAATACATCTATGGAATATTAAAATCTACTTTATTAAACTGTAGTATTAATATCTCAATATATGTGTATACAAGAAAAAAAATATTGATAATATTAAAGACGTGACAACATAGGCTGGATGAGGAAGACTCGGTCGACTGTACCCAGAAGTAAACATGTGTACAAAAAATATTGTCTGTCCGCGTTGAGATGTAAATAGTGTAGTCTATATTTTATTTTAAGTCTATGAAAATAATATATACCGTAAATACTTTTTTGTATTCTTCAGGTTTTGTAATATATAGCTGAGTGTTTGATTGTACAGGGTGTCCATTTTCGTGTTTTTTATGGGGTTTCCCGTTTATGAGTGGAGTTACAAAGATGCGGTTTTCATATCAATTTGCTACTTTTATGAAACTCAAGACGCTACACATAGACTTCTCCTTGCCCTCTTAGTTTCTGAAGTACAGGCCTTCTTGAAAATTCGGACCCCTGTATATTAATTTATTTGCCTTGTCATGAACTTTTCAAAAATATAAATTTATATTTTCTCTTAAACGAAAAACCCTGTAAAACAAACGAAAATTTCATAGTCTGTACTTAAGATTTTGCACATTTGCAAATATTTTCAATTGTGTTTTTTGTTTATTCATTTTTATGTAAATAAAATACTCCATTTTTATTTGCATAAATTTCACATTTAGAACAGAACGATATTTTTAGTACTTCGAGTGGAAAATTGTGTAAATTTTATTTGTACACTGATTGGGAAATTTATGATGAAATTACAGATATTTACTTAGATTTAAGATAAATCAATTTTAATTTATTTTTCTCTATTTGATTTAAATCATTAATTTGAAATGTATTATAACAAAGTCAGTCTAGTTTACACAATTTTTTTACTCACCCTGTATATAGTCCAGGCATTATTATATTTAGGTAGGCATTGTAAAATAAAATAACGTAAGTCAAATAGTAATAATCTCAAACTTTATTCAACAGATTCTCTTCAATAGTAATAATATTTATTAAATTGTAAATATTTGGATATTATAATGTTAACTAAAGATAAAAAATAAATATTTTTTATTATATATTTCTGGAATTATTTTTATTTTATTTATTTATTTTCTTATTTTATTTAGATGAAGCGGGCTTATAACGTTTTCGTGATGGTGTTTTGGCTCGACGAGTACGAGAGCTTTGTTACACTGTTTGCATCCTGAAAAAAGAAATAAAAAAACAATTAGAAAAAATATCTAGGAAGTACAATTGATTGGAAAAAAGGTGTCAGCGATGGCTATGAAATAAAGATCGCTGTCATTTTATTGGTGTGTACTTTTTTAAATTTTTATTTTAGTACCAAAAAAATATTGGTATTATATTGGTATTCCAAATTCTGGAAGTTTGTGGAAATGAACAACGAACTTATACTACAATGCGAGGGATGTCTCACTTGGGTAAAAAATGTATAAAGTGGGTTAAAAGCCTAGAATTTGAATTAAATGGAAACACCCTTTTCTGTAGGAGATAGACAAAAACTAATTTTGTCAAAAACATGATGGGAAAACCGCATATCGATATCTGTTACCGTTTCGGAGTTACGGGGTGTTTTTCAAAAATATGCATTTCTAACAAATCGCTGTAACTTTTTTGCTATGGAAAATTTTGTATTTTTATGAAAACATTTCCAAAGCACCTTTTTACGTAGAATTTAATGGTTTAAGTATAATTTTTTAAAATTAATAATTTAAGAATTATCAACAGAAAGTTTGATTTTTTATATGGGACACACTGTATATTTTTAATTTATTGAAAATAATTTAAAATTACCTTTCCAAAAATATAACACTTGATATTTTGCTCGATTCCTCTTCGATATTGAGTATATAAAAATTCGCCCGCTTTAAATAAGTAGGCTTTGAACGGCACCGGCTGTAATGCAAAAAAAATTCTAGCTGTGAGCATCAATTAAAACGAAAATAATATTTGGTATGAGAGATGCAGAATTTTATAACAATTTAAAATATATTTAACCAACATCAACACATTTAAACTATATCTAATAACAATAAAAATAAATAGCAAACCAAGACATGAGATTTTGCTACAGGTGTTCGACATATCGACCGTCTTCTGTTATGGACAGACGGGCCAGTTTTTGAACATTTCTCGCGGAATTCGTTAACTCAGTGGGGGTGAAAGATACCCTCTCATAACTGCTAAGTAGTTCTAATTCTGTCTAGATTATACACGGAAGAATAAGGAACCTTTATTTTTTCGCAAATATATCCATTAGGATTAGATCCATGGGCACTAAGTCAGGCGGCCTCGATGGCCAACGGCTGGGATCTTGGTTAGCTATTCAATTATTCTTGAAATTGGTTGCAAAAATTTACTGACAATTTCAGCGTTCAGAGGCGGTGGTGCGTCGTCTTGCTGAAAAAATATGTTTTCGAGTTCCATTAAGGGCATATCATCAATAAGGGGTCCAAAGCCTACTAGTTAAAAGTGGCGAAGTTCTAAAAATTCTGTATTTCGAAGGGGATTATAACAAAATATCAAGTGTCCTATATTTTTGGAAAGGTAATTTTAAATTCTTTTCAGTTAATTAAAAATATAGAGGGTGTCAAAAATAAAAAATCAGTTTTTCTGTTGATCGTAACTCCGAAACGGTAACAGATATTGATGTGGTGTTTTCACCATCATGTTTTTGATGAAAATTGAGCTCCAGACACCGATATTAGTTTTTGTCTATCTCCTACAGAAAAGGGTGTTTCCATTTAAAAGCGTCGAATTTGACCCACCCTGTACTTGTACTGCCGAAATATCATTTTACTGCCAACGACTGCCAAGAAAAGGTACATGTAATTCCAACAGTGAGACACCCCCCGTTGCAATGGTTTCCTTATACTTACTTTTTCTGACATGTTAGTTAAGTAAGGGTTTCTAGCAACTACAAGTTCCAATCTATCTCCAGCAGACGCTATGAGTGGCACCGTAAGACAGCAGTCGAAATCCACTGTTTTTGTATCATTAACCTGCAAGAAGAAACTTTGTTAGAACTCTACTGGTAAAAGATTTTAGAAAATATTTTACATCCAAAATTTCATAAAAATATCTGCAAGTGCATCAGGAGCATTCTGGAAATTAAAAGACAGGGTTTTCTACAATCATGACTTTCAATTTTTTTTTATTCAGAGACACCCTGTATACAGACATATACCGGGTGCGTCTCAAAAGTGGCTCACCCCTATAACTTTTTTATTTCTTCAGATAAAAAAACGAGATTTGGTAGGTTAGTATATGACATAAATTAGGATTGATTGACGTATTCAATTGTTTTGGGTCACTTCCTGTTTCATCGGAAATTACTACAACTTTTGATTTATAAATGGCACCCTCGGTATTTTTTTACTTTATTCGATAGAAAATGACATTCTGAATATAATGATATATCATATGTCAACTTTTGACATTTTCGCTTAAAACGAAATTAAACTTTAAATTTCAATCTAGAGTGCCATGGCTATGTTAAAAACACTAATTCTTAATCCAGGAGCCTTGGAAAAAGAGATTTGATTGTCTAATAAAAAAAAAAAAACAACGCTTTATTGTACAAAAAGCCAAAACAGCTTCATCGACACAGCAAAAAAAAAACACAAAAACAAATATACAAATAATACGAAAAATGTCATACAATACAAATCAATTCAAAAAAAAATTACGTCATAAAATTACAAATAAAACATATATGGACATTGCAGAACACAGGCGTATTTAGAAAATTTTACAAAAGGAAAACTGTAAATGGATAAAATCATGTTATAATAACATAAAATCAAGAGTTATAAAATATTAAATACTAGACCTTTAACCAGTGTGTGAGATGATCAAAATATTAAAATTAAAATTCTAAATTGTTCATGATTAAACATCAACAAAAAAAGTCCGTTTACCGCATATAGGGGCTCTCTCCTGTAAATATGATTTCAGAGCTTTGCGAAATGCGGGAAAGAATGAAAGTGACTTGATATTCGAAGGCAAATGATTGTACATTTTCTTGGCATTGTACAGTATTGAGGCCTTAACTAGTTCTGAGCTCGGGGTTGGCAGATAAATATCGTGCTCCGCATTCCTAAGTGGATAGTTGTGAGAAGGCCTTTCCGGAATAGAGAATATGTGCTTGCGGATTAAGCAAACGGATTCAGAAATGAATAAGGAAGGAAGAGTCAGTATTTTGAAATTTTTAAAGAAATTCTGGCAGTGAGTTCTACTGTTTAGTCCCAATAAGTATCGAACTGCTCTCTTTTGAAGTTTGAAAATACGATCAAATTTTGTCGCGCAGCAAGTACCCCCAGAATGGAAGGGCATAACGAAGATGCGACTCAAAAAGGGCATAATAGACCATTCTAGAGGTTGATGAGTTAAGTTCCTTAGTCACTGATCTTAGTGCAAAACAGGCAGAGCTTAGTTTCTTTGATAAGGCTTCGATGTGCAAGTCCCATTTTAAAGAGTTGTCCACAACAAGTCCTAAGAATCTCACAGAGTCACACGACGTCAAAAGGTTGTATAGTACTTTTATATGACAAAACTTTAGTTTTTGAAAGGTTGAGGCATAGGAGATTAGAATCGCACCAAGATTTAATGGTGCGTAAGTCACTAGATATAGTATCATATAGTGCTGTAACATCTGGGCCGCTCCAAGTGAAACTAGTATCGTCCGCAAAGAGGCAGATTTTACCGCTAATGTCTAGATTTGCAATGTCGTTGATAAACACCAGAAATAAAATAGGACCAAGTACTGAACCCTGAGGGACACCACATTCTATAGGCTTACAAGAAGACATAGACGTATCAATCCTCACAAGCTGCCTTCTGTTGCCAAGATACGACTTAAGCCATTCGAGCGGCACTCCCCTGAATCCATAGTTTTGCAATTTGTTAATTAAGATATTATGATTTACACAGTCGAAAGCCTTAGAGAAATCACAGAAAATTGTAGCTGTAGAGTGATGGTTATTCAGGCTAGAGTATACATTATTAAAAAGGTCAAAAAAAGGTCTAATGTTTTTAGTGCCTTGTCCTGGCCGTTAGAAAATGCTCAAATCGTATTTTTAATCATATCTCAATTTTTTCAAATGAAACGAGGGTGGCTCGTTAGCATATTTGGGAAAATCATTTTTTTACGAGTAATTTGATACCACACACTTGGTATTTCGAGTCAAATTTTCGTTACGAACCGCAAGTTATAATTTCAAATACACCATATGCCAAAAAGTCAGAAGTTGACATATGATATGTCATTCTATTCAGAGTGTCATTTTGTATAGCATAACGTAAAAACACACCGAGGTTCTCATTTCAAAATCAAAAGTTGTAGTCGAAAATGACTGATACAGGAAATGACCGAAAACAATTGAATACGTCAGTCAATCCTAATAAATGTCATATACTAACATACCAAATCTAGTTTTTTTAACTGAAAAAATAAAAAAGTTATGGGGGGGGTAACCCACTTTTTAGACGCACCCGGTATATCCTTCTTTTTGTTTATTTTCCTGGATATCAGGATTTTTTGAGAACGTTTTTCATTATGAAAAGCTTCTTCATATTAAAAATAAAGATCTAAAGATTCAAGTTAAAGACCCTTTCAAGGAAAAATCACCTTCTTTGAAGTTCTTTTTACCTGGATTATTCTGTCGTAGGGCCTTAACAAGCCCACTATGTCTGCCGGACCTCCTTTCCTAATTCGGTTGATGTAGACGCCTTTGACGTAGAGGCCGTCACTTACACTGAATCCATAGTCGTCGTATATCGAGTCCTGGAAAATAAAAATAATTTAAAACGCGTTAGTTATACAGGGTGTCCCAGGCTGAGCGTGCATTAGAAGTTTCTAGAAAACTACAATATCTAGATCGAAGATGTTTTGCACATCATTGTTTCACAACGAGATCTATCGATTAAAAATATTTTCAATATGGTAGTGGCACTTGGTTGACAGCAACTTTCTTAATTTAAATGGGCGCCCCCATTTTTGATTACATACTTAAATTCTCTGTAAAATTTATAAATTTTGATATTAAACAGTCTGTACCTAACATTATCCGTTTTTGAGAAAAAAAAGTATGTAACATTTTTTGGACGAAAAAAACTGCCTGTCAAAAATATGTGTATATCCTAGTTTAGTTTAACAACAACTTTTTTGAACAGTGGGGAGGTACAGCAATGGGTAATCCATTGTCTCCATTTTTGGCTAATTAATTCATGAGCAGGTTTGAAGTGGAGGCTAAGAATCAATTTGAGTATTTTCCAAGAGTATGGTTTAGGTATGTGGATGATATATTTTTGCTGTTTTTGAGACACATTCAGACACCATAGATAATTTTATATCTAAGTTAAATAATCGTTTTCCTTTCATTAAATTTACACATGGAATTGAGAACAACGATAGATTACCATTTCTAGATGTATTAGTTATTAGAAATACTAATAATTGCCTGGAATTTGATATCTATCGGAAAAATACCACTACAAGCAGATATATTCCTAATGAATCATATCATAGTGTTGAACATAAAATGGCTAGTTTAAATTTCTTAGTTCATAGATTACTTAGTTTTCCACTTACCAACAAAAGATATGAAACATGAAATAGAAAGAGATTACATTAGGAATGTGGCTGAGTGTAGTGGATATTCTCCTGAAAATTCGACTTTTCAAGTGGAGAAAGATACGTCAAAATATTTTTCAATGCCGTTTGATAGAGAGATGGAGACCCGTGGTCTAAAAGGAATTTTTAAGAATGTCAATTATAAACTTGTGTATAGTGCTAATAATAAATTACAACAATTATTAGGTAATCCAAAGGATAAAACACCTCCACTGGAAAGGTCGGGTATTTATGAAATTTCTTGTAAAGATTGTAATCAGAAATATGTTGGGCAAACTAGAAGATCAATATTAACTAGATTTAAAGAACATTTAGCTCAGATAAGATATGGTAGACCGGATAAATCTTGCGTTGCTGAACATTTTGTTGATAAAGAACATTGTATAGATCTTAA